ACTCCAGCTCAGGAAGGCAAGACCGGCTCTCAGTGCAGGAGTGGGGTTTAGGGTCGTCGGCGTGTCATGTGTTGGCTTGAATGATTTCCTTACTGATGAACCAATTTCCTTCTACCAAGAGCGGCTTTCTGCGCAGTGTGTGCGTGTTGCCCTGGCCTCCGTCCGCTGCGGTGTCGGTGCGTCTCCAGGAAGGAGCCTCCCGGGTCGGTGCCTGCAGCAGTGCGCACAGCAGGCCGCACTGCAGACCCAGGCACTGGGCCCGAGCCTCCTGGCTCCTCTGCTCTGAGTCAGCACAGTTCACGGCCTGCGTCTCCCTGAGCTTCCAGCCTTCCTGGGGCATTGTCCTGGCGGATGGAGGCAACCCACAAGGGAGGAAGGCATGCGGTCCGTGAAGAGTTGCTTTTCTCACCATCAGGAGAAGGAGCGAGGGTTACTTTTCTATTTTTAAAGAAGTTGCATTCCCAGCAGCCAAGAAAATAACTGTATATTACCTTTTTATTGCTGCCGTAACAAATTACTGCAAACCCAGGGGCTTAAAACAACAGCACTTTATGCTCTCACAGCGGCGCAGGCCAGGCGTCCGTCCTACGTCTCCTGGGGCTGAGGTCACAAGGCTGGCAGAGCTGTGCTCCCCTCGGGAAACCTAGGGGAGGGTTCGTTTCTTTAATAAAAACAGTGTTGCCCTGACGGGCATGGCTCAGCGGGTTGGGTGTCATCCTGCAGAGTGAAAGGTCACCGCTTTGGTTCCCAGTCAGGGCACCTGTCTGGGTTGTGGGTTTGGTCCCCGGTCAGGGTGTGTACGTGAGGCAACTGATCAGTGTTTCTCTGTCACATGGATGTTTCTCTCCCTTTCTTTCTCCCTCCCTTCCCCTCTCTCTAAAAATAAATAAGTGAAATCTTTTTTAAAAATAATAAGATACCTTTCATCTCCTTTTCATGCTGGAAATATTCATGGGACAAGATGAAAAGACTGTCTTTCCAATTCTTCCTCCTAAGTACGACCACCTTCCCGTGAAAATCAGGCACATCCACTCAATTCATATTTATTTAGCAGCTCCTGTGTCAGGCACTCCAGGCGTTTGGTTCGAGACACACCCTCACGGACCGTTTGGAGACAGCAGCCTACGGGGAGGTGCCACGCTTCGTCACACCTTTGAAGAACCCGAGGCAGGCACTCCAGGGTCCCAGGCCGTGACCGGCCCTCCCCACCCCATTCCTGCCCACCTGACTCTGCAGTAACTGGAGGCTGGGTTCCGGACCCCAGCCAGCCCTGGGCCGGGGCCCTGTGTCAGCCAGAATCCAACGAGGAAAACAGAAAGTGTCCCGAGTATTTACAACAGAGAAAATGTAATGCGGGGGTGACTTGGGTCCGTGGTGATGGAGTAGCTGAGAAACCGGTAGGGGATTTATAGCATCCCGATGGGGGGTGTTGGCATCAGCAGGAAGACAGGGGCAGTTCTGGGGCAGAGGGGGAGGGACACCTGATTAGAGCCCAGGGGCCGGAGCAGCTCGTGGCAGCCAGGAGCACAGCGGGCCTGGCCGGGTAGTGCGGTTACTGAGACCATCGTCCCAGTGTGCCCAGGTGTGGTTTTATCCCCGGTCGGGGCACATGCAAGAAGCAGCCAGTGAAACCATCGACAAGCGGAACGACGAAATCAGTGTCTCTCTCTCTCTCTCAAGTCAATTAAAAACAACAGCAACCACAACAGTGGGCCTGACAGAAGCCGAAACTCTGACGAAGACACAGCTCAGCCAGAGAAGGAGGCTTCTTCTCACCTTCTCCCTCCAGACCCAGGCCAGCTCCTCCAGGTGCCTGGCCCCAGCTGTGGGTCATCAGCCCGAGGGAGCCCAGGGGCAGCCTGCAGGGCCAGGCACCCTGCCATGGGGGGCAGAGGGAGAGCTGGAGACACGAGCAGAGCTCGGGGTGCCGAGGACCCGCACAGGGCAGACACGCGGCTTCTTGGGGGCCAGACGCTGCCTCCGAGTGACTGTTTTCCCGCAGCTGAGCTCACGCTCCAGCGCCCCAGGGCTCCGCGCCGGCTCTTGCTGAAGCTCCCTGCCGCCGGCTTCTTGCCTAAGTGCACGTCGGAGTTATTTGGAGAACATTGGAGACAGTGCAGATTCTTGGGCTCCTCCCCAGTACTGAAAAGAATTTGTGGGGGCGAAGTAGAAATACCTGTGCCATGTTCTAGGATCTCACGACGGTTGTGCCATACAGGTGGTCTTTGGGATGACTTTTTTAAAGATGAGGCTTCTCTGGTTCTGAATCTCGGGACCCTCCAAGTCGCCTTCCATCCTTCTGGAGGGAAACCTACTGTGCCGAGCTGCAGGATAGGGCACGTCTGCAAACAAACACACAATATCCACTACGTAGAAATAGATTGAACTTTGTACTTGCCTTATCGCCAAAGCCCAAAGGGCAGGTTGCGTCCTGTGTCGTCCCCGTCAGTGGCACGACGGCTGACGATATTTGTGAGCGCCCTGTTTCCTGCTTTCTACTGAAGCAAGCATGGCATTGCCATAGAGAGCGTACTCTGTGGTGCGATGCTGGTTAATTTTGAGGCTGGTCATTCTTTACTGTAGCCGCAGTTATGTCCCTCAGAAGCGCGTGTCTGCGGGAGACGGGATTCACTGTGTGCAGACGGTCCCTGTCCTTCCCGAAGCCTGTTCCGGGTTCACGTCTGACTTACCGTGACCCCACGGTGGCCTGAGAGGGGCTCCGCGGCCGGACCGAGCTCCGACCTGTGCAGGGTTTTTTTGCTGGTCTCTGTATTCAGTTTCAATATAAACTTTTATTTGTAAAAAAGTTTCCATTTACTCACTTTTTAAAATTCTGCCTTCTGGACAAAGCTTTCCACAGGGCAAACTAATAAAAAGTCCAGAATTGCAGGGTCCGCTATGTGCACGTTTCTGAGAAGCAGGCTCTTGGCGGTCGCATGGTTTGGTGCAACTTGGAGCCCCAACAGGCTCGCTGCTCAGCACTTGAGCTGCGAGACCAGTGAGGGAGACGGCAGGAAACTCTGACCTCAGCAGCCAGGGGCAGAGCACGCACAGCCCGGGGGCCGAGAGACCCACCAGGCCAGCGCACACGGAGATCAGGAAACTCCGCGGTTTCCTAGACCAATTGCTGTGTTAGCCGCAAACCTCCTCTTGCTCATGACTGTTTTTAAAAGAGATATTTCACTGAAATCTTAGGTGGCTTAGATTTGCTATCAGAAAATAACTTCCCTCTTTAAAATATTCACTTATTTTCTTAGTGAAATTATGGAATGTAATTTTTTATACCTTTTTCCTGTCCTTACAGACATAACACATTTTTTAAAAGAATCCCTTACATGTTTTTTGTTTTGGTTTGTCTTGTTTGCTTCCAGCGAGACGAATTTCGTAGCCACACTGAGTCTTGTCACTCAGGATGTGGTGAGAGCCGGCCCCTGGCGTAGCAGCTGAGACCTGTGGGGGTACGTGTCTCCCGAACACAGTACTCACCCGGCTTAGAAGCATGGGTTCCCGTGGGGAGACGCTAGGCAGGCGTTAAGATGATACAGAGTTAATGTGATATCATGAAATGAAAGAATTTTGGGTGGACGTGGAGACATAACAATATAAGATGTAATGCTGAGCACATTTTAAAACATGTGCACAATATCCTTTGATCCAACAGTTCTACTTCCCGAACAGGTGTGGAAAGATAGACACACAGGGATTGTTCTCCACCGCACTGTCCACAACTGCAAAAATGAGAACCGGCCAGTCCTCACCAGTGGGAACCAGACAAATCAGCGTGGAGCACCCACGCGACGGAAAGCTGTTTAGTCATCATTTAAATGGAGCAGACACATGTATCCAGGCCTCGGGGTCTAGATAAATTGTCACGTGAAAAAAAAAGCAAGTTACAGAGCAGAATGCACACTATAAACCACTGGGCAAGAATATCGAAACAGTATACATAAAATAAATCATAGGTAATAGATATAAGTACTATATATATCTAGATTATATATTATTACATAATAATATATAATCAAGGTAATATACATATACTAGATACCATTATCAAACTTTTCACAATAATTTCCATAACTATTTTGGTTTAGGATTATAGGAAATAATTTATCCTTTATTTCTGTATGCAAATTTTTATAGGAAGCATGCCAATTTATAATACATTATAATATGCACATTTTGTAGCACAAAATTAATAAAATTTTCACATTGGAATGCGGACAAAGAGCGGCCACCTACCAACCTGACAAGCGCAGCGTGGCGTGGTGGGGGGCTGCCTGGCGGCCTCACGGGACGGCCTGAAACTAAAACGTTCAAACCGAAAGCAGTTCAAGGTGGGAGCCATGTCCTACAGCGGCATCCGCCCCCCCCCCCCCAAGCTCAGTCTTCACCTTGACTGAGCCTGTCTATCGTCTTTTTGCCTCTGAGGTAACACGACTTTGAGAAGTCAGAGTAACTTCTCCCCCTCGCCCCGCCCTCCGATGCACAGCCAGTCCCCGGAGCCGAGACCACAGACCCCCCACTGCTACCGTCCTCGTGCTGCTTGCTGACCGATGACTCGCCTGCACCCGCCCCAGTGAAAGGGGTGTGTGTCTGTCATCTCACATTTCATCCAACCCCAGAGGCCCCCCCACTTTGCTTTCTCCCGCCACCCTCGCCTATCGCCAGTAGATTTCATGGACCCCCTTCCGTCTTCCCCTTTGATTCTGATGTCTAAAATAAGTGGTAAAACTGCCATTTTCTGGAGCATTTTGTCAATTTTTTGAGGTTTTGCGTTCTGGCCACTGTCCTCAGTTTGGCTCAAATAAACTCATACAAATTGTTACAGGTTTGGATGTTTCTTGTGTTGACAGAGAAAAGACGGGAAGAAAATACACTAATATGATGATACTAATTATTTCCAGTTGATGGAAGCACGAAAGAGTCTAAAAAATGATTTGTGCTCCGTTGGGGTGGTTGGCGACGTGGCTGGGACAAAAATTCACAGAGAAGAAGAAAGCGAGGAGAGTATAGTTTTTATTCCCTCTCACAGAAGGGACGGGGGCTCCACGCAGGGAGAGACGCAGGCACTGAGGGGTGGGGGCTTTGGGCTTCTAGTGGGTTAAATGGGATTTACAAAGGGTGGGGTCGCGGCTGTGTGGCCCCTGGCTGGTGGGGCGCGGGAACGGAGGCTGCAGTTTGCTCCGATGTTATCTTCCGCCTGTGGCTGTAGGGAGTCATCGGTTCTGTTCCTGCTTCCCGTCACTTCCAGTCCTGGGGACACAAGCTCAGGAGAGTAAAGTGTCAGTCACATTTAACCAGGTCACAGGCCTGCTGGGCAAATGGTGCCACAACAGCAAATGGGGCTGCTTTGGCCTTTCATGCTCCAGTGAACTTTGAGACGCCCGAGAATTTGATTCCAGAGCTCACAGCCCATACGTGGTAGCACCCGTGGGACACTTCTCCAGGGAGTCCTGTCCTCCCAGCACCCTGGCTCCTGTGGACACCCCACCTTCCTGATGAAGGGCGGATGGGGACAGGGGGCCATCAGTGGCCGCCAGACTGAGAGCTGAATGTCACTATTCAAGACCACGGCAGTTGGGGGTTACCACGAAGCCGGAGAGACGACCGGATTCGTGGCATTTGAGTTGCCGAAGAGCAGGAGCCTTTCGCTGACGGAACACAGGTCACCGTCGGGTCGCTTCCCTTGCCCGCTGCTGTGTCTCCCACTGGCGCGCCCCAGCTCTGGGGCGGGCGCGGCAGGAGGCAGAAATCAAGTCCTTTGACGACATCCAACCTCCGCAAGGCCAGAATTAGAGAAGGAAGGAAGAGTCCATTCAAATGCCACAGGGACAGAAATGGGTTTTCTGGGACAAAGGAAACTGCATGATTTAAGTTGGTGGCAAATAACACGCAAGTAATCTTTTTAAAAAATTCTATTCACCACTTGGGTACAAGAACATGTTGTACCCAGGAAGTTCAAATGTCGATCATCATTATTAATACCCTTGTTTTCCTCATTTGCTCTTTGCCAAATAAAACAAGGAATTAAATACAAGCTGTTGCAGGAAAATGGCCAAGACCATGAGGATCCTAGCAGAAAAGGCCGGGTCAGCTTTTCCATTTCCTACAGGGAGGGTGTCCCGGCTTGCAAGAATGGCCCTTGGAGGTCACTGCACTGTGTCACACTGACTACCGTCTCATTTTACAGGGTAAAAGTTTCCCCCATTTCCCTGGACGTGGTGGTAACCGACCAGCCAGCCCTCCTAAGTAGGCCGTTACCTGCTCAGCTGCCAACGTGAGAAGAGTTGGAGGGATGCTGCGGTCCCAGTCTCAGCCTCGGTCCCGGGGCTGCATTTTCCCCCAGGGCGCAGCCTTGGGCTGGGCCAGGCGTGGCTGGGCACAGGGGCCCGATGGGGGCTGGCAGACCTCTCCCGTCTCCTGGGCAGCTCCGAGGCAGAGGACCGGAGTGAGGATGCGTTAGCCCCAGAGGTATGCAGCTGTCAGCTAAAGTGGCCAAAGGAATGTCCCAACCCGGCGTTTCCACCAAGCTAAGGAATTCTTTCCACTTTTTGGAACTTCACTGAACTGTGGAAGGAAGAAATGAGTATGGTTTCCTTGTTTTCTTCTTCTTCTTTTTTTAAAGGCTGAAACAGGAGCAGGATTGTAGCTGTCACAAGCTAAATATTTTTTACAGTGCCGAAGTCTTTAAAATCTCGGGAACATTGGTGAGAGCTAATGTTTATGTTGGGACCTCTACCCTGGTGGAAGGGACTGCCGTGCCAGCTGCCCCCAACCCCAGGGCTGCTGGCCGAGGACGGCGAGGGAGCCGTTCTGCCCATGGTCTGGAAGAACTCGGGACTGAGGAGAAATGGCCTTCGGCCCAGCAGTCCAAAAGGAGCGGGCCAGGGCGAGGTCTGCAACAAGTGGGAGAGGGCCCTTGTCACCCAAACCGGGCACCCCGCCGCCCTGACTCCCGACTGTCTCTGCTCTACCTGCCCGGAGGCTCTGCGCAGGCCCAGAGCCCAGCCCGCCAGCCTTGCGCCCTGCGGGGGGATCCTGTTTCCCCGAGGCCCAGTTGCAGGGGATTGATTTCAATCCTCTCCCTTTACAGAAGCCACCAAATTAAAAATACATAGAAAAGGGGAGGCTGCTGCCTCGAAAACTTTCCTTCAGCCAGACTTACCCCAGGGTGGGCTTTAGCATCTGGTAACTGGTTCCCGGGTCCAAACGGATGTGCTTGTCAGCAAATCTGTGGCTCAGTTCACCAGAAGGTTCGCCAGATGCTCTTTGTAAAACGGCAGCTAGCCTTCAGTGGGGTTGTTTGGGCCCCTTCCCAGGGGAGTTGACTCTTGGGAACGTGCCTGTGGGTGGCTGCGGAGGTCGTCACCATGACAAAGGTCGGCTGCCCCTGGTCGGCCAATCCACAGCCTTTCACGTGGGAAATATCGTTGGTCATTGTCGTCAAAGTAGAATTTTTAGCAAGTGAACAACACGGCCCTTGACATGAATATTCGAGGGAGCGCCTGTCGAGTGGTAACCGGATAAGCGGCGGTAGCTCATTCAGTGGGTATCGTTGAGCCACCAAAGGGCTTAGAGAAGCCCGAGCGTTGCAGTGGAAGGAGCCGGGCGAAGCGCAGCTCCCGGAGGATCCGGTAACATTCGCTTGTTACAGGCCGCCAGGCGGCCTCTTCCCGCCTCTGAGCGGAACGAGAGACGCAGCCACTTTCTGAAACTTATTTTTGCTTTGAGCATTTTTTCCATAACACTGTAACAGGTCCTATTTGCTAGAGCAAACAGTTTCACCAAATTTTGGTCAGTCTTGCAAGTCCATTTCCAAATTCTGACCCAGCACCCGGATCCATCCGTCAGGGTCCAGTGAGGAGTCGGAAGCCATACCGATTCTCGTAACAGGGAAGCTGAACGTAAGGAACTGCTCACCAAGTGCTGGGGGACAGGACAACGTGGCTGAGGAGGGCTTGAGAGAAAGAGCGAGGCCAGGCGTTTAGAGCGGAAACCGGGAAAGCCGGCGCTCAGGCAGCCGGTCACCCACCAGACCCAAGAAGCAGAGACAGGGAGTGAATCTTTAGGGCACTTTGTTCAGATGCCGGTGACCTGAGAAGACAGCGGGTTTGTACCCTCCCAGACCCTCTTACGCTCCATTTCAAACGGCCTTTTTATGAAGAGAACAAAGTGTAGGCAAAGGTCAGTCAGATAGAAGGCTGCACCATTGTGTCATCTGTTGATCTTGGTTCTTTATCTGTGTCCTGGGAGCACAATGGCTCAGATTCCATCTCCAGGGCCTGCAGTCCCTCCCAGGCACGAAGGTGGACCTGCCTGCGGGCTCCTGGAGCCCTGGTGGGGCACACCTTCCGTTCCTGGAACAATAGCTTTTTACAGGCATTGATTAGTAAACTTATTGACTGTTACCTGGAACTAAAGTTTTCCAACATTTGAGCTCCCATCCGAAGGTGGACCTCCAGTGGGGCCTGAAGACCTCGGACTCCTGGGCCGGAGCAGGGACCCCAAGGTGTCCCCCACCCAGGGCCGGCAGCCAGGTCTCTGAGGAGGGTGGGGTTGGAGGGTCAGTCCCCTGAGGGGGCAGCAAGGCCACTCCGCTGACCAGACAGCCTGCCACCCGGAGCCAAGTGCAGCTCCTGGAAGGGGTGGCGCTCAGACGGTGAGGACCTGCTGCCCGGGTGACCCCGACAGGGACAGGAGACAAACAGGAAGGAGAGGCACCCCGCCCCCACCCCACCATGGCTCGTTTTGGCAGAACCTGTCGAGGGTCGAGCTGGCAAAGCCGGGTGAGGGGTGTGTCACGGAGCCCCGAGCAGAGCGCGGGCCTGGGGCTGAGCCGTCCCGACAGCCAGCCCCCTGCCGTCCTCGCTGGAAGCCTGTCATTAGTGCTTTTGCTCGTGCGGGGAAGCAGGCGCTTGGGGAGGACAGACCTGGTTTCACTTCCAAGGCCCCCCAGCCTGGCGCCGGGCAAAGCCCGTCTCACAGTCGCTCTCAGACACCGTTCCCTCGTGTGGACACGGGACCGAGGACGCCTGGTTCTCAGGGCCTGTAGGAGCGTAAACGTCACCACGCACAGAAATCACCCAGCGCGGTGTCAGCACCAGGCAGCGGGACTCAGAACCACCCTTCATCACCGTCTGTCCTGGCTTTCCAGTCTACCTGCAGAACCAGCTGGTCAGCCAAAAAGAGCATACGGCTGGGGGCTAGGAGGGGCCGTGTGCGGTTAGGAAAAGGTGGCAGAGGAGCCCGTGCGGTGACGGCAGTGTCTGCGTCGTAGCCGTGGGCTGGACACAGAGAACGGCATCGGTGGCGGCACCGCGGGAGCAGACAGGAGCGTGGGAGGGAGCTGGGGAGCCGGGGGCGGGGTCTCTGGTTGCCTCGCTGCGGGGGTCCTGGCTGTGACCTTGGTCTGCGCTTTCCGAACTGGTTACCATCGGGGAACGGAGTGTGGTGTGCCAGGCGCTCGCTGTGTCGTGTCTGCTGCGTGTGGGTGTCCGACGACCGCCATGAACACCTCCGCTGAAGGCGATGGGACCGTTGATGCGGAGACCGCCTCCCCTGACGCCCGAACACGTGTTGCAAGATGAGGAAAAGGTCCGATACGTGGACCCACGTCCCCCGAACAGTCTATGCTCTGCTGCGGGGGACGTAAAAACGGCCAGTGTGAGGTTTCGATGGCGGAGGGTTTAGCTTTACAAACATCGATAGAAGCTCTATTGCTTTCCGAGAACGTCTGACTCTGTGAAACGTAACAAATGGGGCGTTTCGGAAGCCAACATGGCACAACACCGATGCAAAGTCAGAGGGGACACAATTGTCCCTTCAGGGCCTGTGTCACCCGGTCACTGGGAGTGGCTCCGTGTGGCTCCAGGTCGCCCAAAAAGTCCTTTGTGGCCCACATCATCCCAAGCTTTACCCAAACTCTTTCTTCTCTGCACCGTGTGTTTGCACTGAGCCATGAAGTGGGTTCAATCCTCATGCTGAATGTCAAGGTGAAGCAGTGGTTTGAGGAACTCGGCTGATCCCACAGATAGGAAACTGGCCGGAGTGAACGGCGAGAGCACGTTGCCAAGCAGCCGAAGTGGCAGCTGAAATCTGGCTGGTTTCCTGCAGAGCCTCTCTCTCCTCTCTCCCTGGGTCCGTTCTTCTGCTGGTTGTGGTGCATGTATTTAGTTTTCGGTGGTTGAATTCCTGAGCTGTTCTGACTCAGCAGCCTCCTTCCCGAGGCTTCCTGGGATTGAAAACACGTCTCGACTAACATCCTGGACTCCAGAGGCTTCCTGGCTCCCGGAGGGACTGAGCAGGCGCCTCAGGACACGGGGCGGGCTCTCCGGCCAAACCAGGCCGAGCTGCCCCCTCTCCCGCCAGGTGGGGAGGCTGCTCCTGCCCCTTCCGTGGGTTCGGAATGTCTCTCCCACCACGAACACCGAGCAGGGGAAGGAGACAAACCCTTTTCTTGGGGCTGCACATCAAGTCCCCTCTCATTTTGCACTAAGTGCAAATTTCACTGCGATCGCCACGCTGCAGGAGGCCGCGTACTCCCACCACCGAAATACTGTCGGCTGCTCGGATGAAGTGCCTGTTGTTACCGAGGGGCAAAAAACAAACCTTGTACTGGGTCCACTGCACTCGGGGCTTGTTTCAAACTCTAAACAATGGCACGTTATTGTGCTCTGAACAGAGTGGGTGTTCTGCAAATCCTTAATTGTCAGTTGTAAGAAGGGAGAGGAGGCCCTGGCCAGGGACCTGAGTTGGTTAGGGTGCCGTCATGATGCGTCAAGGCCGTGGGTTCGATGCCTGGTCAGAGCACATACCAGCATCAACCAACGAATGCAGAAATAAATGGGGCCACACATTGATGTCCCTTCCCCTTCTCTCTAAAATCAAGTTTTAAAAAAGTGAGGAGAAAAATATTCACATGTGGAACCATCCCAGCTGGAATTTGAGGAAGACATGCGACTTCAACAAAAGTCAACCCTCTTCTTTGGGAATATGTTTCTCCTGTTGCCTCCATCCCAATTAAAGGTCATCTGTCTGTCCAGTGAGCGCAGGGAATCACGTTTCAGAGTCTCCCCAGACACCTCACAACTGCAGCATAAACTCAAACCTCCCAAGAAAACCGGCGAATTGATGAGCAGAGAGGAAGCCACACCAGAGCCCAGGCCCCTCCCTCCGGGCAGAGGCTGCCAACCGGGCACAAAGGTCAGCTCTCCGCTGCCCGTCACCGCTCTGGCCTGAGGGCGTGGAAGGCACCGAGAGGCCCAAGTACAGGTCAGCTGAGCTCGGTGTGAAGGACTTCGGATTCTGGCCGGGGAGTTCCCAGTGGAGCCTGCTCGATCTGGGTGAAGTCAGAGCTGGAGTAACGCCCTCGGAAAGCTGTGCGTGCGGAGGGCGAGAAATGGGGATGCTAACGTTTCCAAGTCTGAACCCCGCAGGGGCCGGCTGGTTTGGCCCCGACTCAGGCACAGGAATTTCTCTCTACCCCTGGTGAACATCCGGTTGTGAGGATGGATGGGCAGGATGGCGGCAGAAGTGTGTGCGTGCCTGGCACTCCTGGAAGACCAACCCAGACTGGTCGCTGTCCTCACACTAAAAACGTTGACTAATAATCAGGAAGTTAAGACAAAACTGTCTCAGGTTGATCTTTCTTCTGCCATCGGGATCACAGTGTTCCGGGCCATGCCAGGGTATCAAGGGGACGCTGGTGGTTGTTCAGGTCACGGACACCCCTCTTCACCGCCCGCTTCCGCTGATGAGGCCGTGGCCTGTCCTCCAGTCTGGAGGGCTCAAAAACTCCCCTTAAACACCGCCATCGCTGCCACGGTCACGACCCAGCACCGCCAGCACAGCCTGTCCCCCAAGGCGCTCACGTCTGTGTCTATTCACATTTATTCCCACGGCCACCCTCTCCCACCTGAAAGTGGACCGGGCCTGCTAACAGTCCGACCCCGCCCCTCCGAAAATCCCTTCTCCTGACACTGAGCTACCCTGTCACTCTGGGAGCTAAAAACCTTCAGTGGCAGCCACCTCCGGTCTGGCAAGGAAAGGCCCTCCATCCAACCAGGCTCCCACAGTCTATAAAAACCCAGCCCAGGGCTGCACTTCCAATCTTATTTCCCCACGGAGTTGCACATTCCTCCCAAATGCCCCTAAAGTTTGACTCAGGCCCATTGTCCTTCTTCCAAAGCTGCGCTCCGCCCGGAAAGGCCTGCCTGGCCGGCCCTTAGTCACCACCCTGGCACTGCTCCGGGACTGCCTCTGAGCGTAACTCTTGCCTCCCCGGCTAATGCCCTGGTCCTGCAACCTGTGTCCTTGGTGTCCAAGAGCTTTTTAAATTAGGTCTGTGATTTTTTTAAAATATTTTATTATTTATTTATCTTTAGAGGGGAAGGGGGGGAAGGAGAGAGGGAGAGAAACATCAATGTATGGTTGCCTTTTGTGCATCTCCTGCTGGGAACTGGCCTGCAGGGAACCCAGGCACATGCAACCCAGGCATGTGCCCTGACTGGGAATCAAACCGCGATCGTGTGGTTCGCAGGATAGGTCTGTGATCTTTTTAAAGTCTTTGTTCTTTGACACTGTGGCAGAAAACTCTGGAACCCAGGCTGTGGTCATTGTCGATCCCCCGATCTTTACATCCTGGAACCTGGCACCGGCCATGTGATGAACATCTTGGGTTTTGAGGAAAAATGCCGCCACTCGGTGGAGAATGTTGTCGCTGGAAGGAGCCGGCGAGGCGGCCCTGGACGAGGCTGTCCGGAGTGAGGTGCGGCAGCCTGCCGGACGTGCAGGACCGCGGGCGCCGGCCTGGCCTGGGGAGTGGACTCTGCACTGGGCAGGCTTCCCTGGGCCTGAGCGGGCACCGTCCGGTCTGAGGGGCACCAGGGCCACCCCAAAAGTGTGCTGGTCAGGCGAGGAAAAGAGGGGTCATCACTGTTCTACGATGGCTGTGAACTAGGGTCTGGGAGTCGAGTGTTTCTTGTCACTTGCCAGTCCCGACGCTGGACAAGTCCTGGGACCAGGCTTAGCCTCCTCTGTTGTTTCATGCAGTGGTTGGGGGCGTGACTTTTAAAAAACACGGAACTTTTACGCATAGTTTTGAATGTGTTTTTCCACTGCTGTTCTTGGGATCACACGGCCAGTGTGTGGCCACTCTCCTGACCCGGAGTCTCGTCTGAGGCCAGTCGTCCCCACTGCCACAGGCCCGGGGACAGCACCTGGAGCCACCTTTGCATATGGAACAGTGGCACGTGTCTGTCTTGAGGGGGTTGCGTGCGTCACTGCCACACCTGGTCAGTTCTCTCCCCGAACCCGGGCTTCAGGAAGTAACTGGGATGCAGGTGACGGAGGTTAAGTAATTACGTTCACTGCAGATGCACTCACAATAATAATGATTAAACAAGTGCAAACAACCTGAACACCCAGCAGCCGGGACTGGTGACGAAATTGCCAGACAGCCCAACATAGAACCTTATATGGCTGTTAAAATTTCTGTCTAAAAAGAGTTTTCAAGGCTATGAGACATTTGACATACTATTAAGCCAATAAAAGGAAAAAAAGAGGTAGAAAGGAAAAAAGTTATATAGCTATGATCTCAATTAAGTCTTAAAAAACGTGGGGACAAGGTTACATGGACACCCGGGGAATTGCCCGCTGTGCTCGTCTCTGGGTGACGGCGTTTGCGGGCCTGCCCTTGTTTTCCCAGTTGACGATCCCGGACTCTGACCAGCGTGTGCTGGACCCTGGGTGACAGGGGAAGGTGGTGGTGTCTCGAACACTGGCTCAACAGGAGCAAAGTCCTGTCTGTTGGTTAGTAGCTGCAGCTACTTTTAAAATATCAGTAACTTGTTTCTCTCCAACAGCGCAGCAGAGTCAGGGCCACAGCACAGCAGACCGGCCCCGCCCCGCCCCGCCCCCAGCACGGCCGTCAGCTCCTGGTTTCCTTCCAGAAGCAGGGCCTCTCCCTCCAGGTGGGGGACACCGAACACTCTGCACCCTGTCCTTTTCCTTTTCAACGCTTTCTTTTGACACACACCCAAGCCTTCAGAAAAGGTGCAAGACTAGTGACGTGAACTTTTGTGCCTTTCACGCACGCTCTTCCGTGAACACTTTGCCCCAGCTGCGCTGTGTGTGTGTGTATGTGCATGTGTGCGATTTCATCCCCGTGGCTGATGTCACTGCGGCTTTGTGGCGCCTTCCGAGCGAGTGCGCCCGCCATCCTCCGCAAACCCGCGTCCGCGTCCCCCTGGAGAACGGGGGTCTCATCCGACCTCACCATGACACAGGATCAAATCCGGGAAACTTAGCATCGATACAGCAGAGGGCAGGACAAAACTAGGTTCACAGGTGTGAATGCACAGAAGGGTAGGTGCTCGTATTACTGTTTATTAACTGTGTCATTTTCCATCCGAACGACTGTACACCTACTGTACACCTGCTGCTATCTAACAGGCGCCCAAACACAGACGTTTCCAGTTGTCCCAATACTGTCTTCCATGGCAGTTTTTTTCTCCACAACCTCAAAGCCCAGCCTAAGCGTTTTGTTAATCGGCCTATTTCTTCTCTGACGGTAGGATAGCAATCTGCCGAAGGAGGTGTGTCCCTCCTGATGAACCTTCCGGTCCTCTCCAACCTTCCACTAACACACAGGCTATGCAGCGTGCAAACGCCTTCCTCCACAGAGACGGGGCCCCCGTGTGCATCCGTGGGAGAAGTTTCTGGGAGTGAAATCGCTGTGCCGAAGATTAGATACATTTTGCTTTTCGATGAATTTGTTGTTGTTGCCAAAATGGAACTTCAAATAGGACGCACAACCTTCCACTTCCGCCAAAAGGCGGGAGGCAGCCAACCGTCCTGCGTTCGGCCTGAGGCCGTCAGGTCACTGGCTCTTTGAGTCATACATGGAGAAGGATTTAACAAAAAGAAAAGAAAGAGAACACAGAAAAGAGAGAAAAGGATAAGGAACCTGCGGAGAGTGTACTCTGTTGATTACAATGTTTTCCTTGAGGTTGACGACATTTCATACGTTTGAAATGCGATTGTGTTTCCTTTCGTCCGATTTGTCCTTCGTTCTTCTTTGTGAGCCTTGTGTGCCAGCACAGTCCCCAGCCAGAACCACGGAACCACGCTTTTCTAGAAAGCTCCACGGGCAGCCAGGACAGGTCCGGCCCGCGGCCCCCACGGAGTCGGGCAGCACCAGCTACGCTCGTCTGCAGAGCCACTCTGAGGACCTTCGGTGTCCCCGGATGACCGAGGGGCATCGTGTTCTCCACCTCCAGGCCTGCCCCAGCGTCCGAAGAGCCCAGGCAAGAGCGCAGACCAGGCCTTGTGCCGTGTATCTGAACATCCGACGTCACAGATCAAGCCGGCATTGCGTAAGAGGGGCGTATCTTACCCACCCACCTTCACAGATACGCCCACGAGGACCTGAAGGCGGGCATCACATTGGGCACGTGGCCTCTGCTCCAGGCCTCGTGCCCTTCTCACCCCTGGATGACCAGGTCCCACCACTGGGACTCTCGCACACCCACGTGTGGACACCCCCATGGGTAAGTGCCCCTCCGCCACCTCTCGGGCTTGGGAAGGGCACACTCCCGGCACAGTGGACCCCACGGAGTCCCAGTGGGGGAAGAGGCCTCTGCAGCCTTGGAAACTGTGCCGGGTCCCAGCGCCTTGGAGCCTGATCTGGAAGTGTTTCCAGGTCCCGTGGGGAGGAGGTGGGAAGGGGACCACGGCCGGCCTGCACAGCGTGACCCCGAGAGGACCCCGAGGACCAGGCCTGGGGCCTGTCCTTGCCCACCTGGCCCACTGACACACCGCGGGCCACTGAAGGACTCCCTGTGGCTTTTCTCCTCCTGTGTTCTTTGAAAGAACTTTGACGGTTTGCTGATTTTCCCGGTGGTGGGCTTCTACCAGGACCTATCACTCCCAGACTATCACAGCAAAACGAGTCAAACCACACGGCGTGTGGTGCGACCTGTGACCTGTGCATCTGATAGGCGGGCCAGCTCTTTGTCGCTTAGTTGTGTTTTTTCTGGAGCTCTGATCTGTTCTTTCCTTTGGGCCACTTTTTTTTTGTCTAGACACGCCTGTTACATATAAGGGGTGGAGCCCTAGGTGCTCACCTGGGCGGGGCAACCACGCGGCTGTGTTGTGACGCTGTACGTGGGGGAGGGTCCAAGAGGGAACAATGGCGCTTGCTCCGCTCTCTGCCGTATTTCAGTCACTTCCCCACAAGCAAAGTGGGCCCTTCTGGTGCTGATTCCCAGGTGGGTGGGTCCGTGTTGTACGTCCTAGGACCCTGTGGGTCTCTACAACACACTCTCTTGTGAGGCTGGGAGTTTCTCCTGATGCCTCAACCCCCACAGGTGTTTTCAGTCAGAGGTTTGAGGCTTTATTTCCCCTTACTGCAGCCCTGGGTTGTGGGTCTGTCTCGCTCCCCAGTTGTTTTTCCCAGTTTATCTGCACTCGAATGTGGGACCACCCGGTCCACCAGCCGCCACCTCACCGTGATTCCTCTCCACCCTGGCTGCACATCTCCACTGCTCCTGCCGTCTGGGTGAGTGTTTTTTCTTTAACTCCTTGATTGTCGGACTTCCGTACAGTTCGAGTTTCAGTTCTGGTTGTCTTTTGTTTTTACGTTTGTTGTTGTCCTTGTTTTGGTTGTGGGAGGGGGCACAGTGTGTCCACCTGTGCCTCCATCTTGGCCGGAAGTCCCCTTCTCAGTTCCTTCTCTGTGGTTATGACACACACACAAGCCTTTTATGCAATAAGAAGATTACTTTAGCCATGCAATTTGGGAATAGGCTTTTTCCTTTAACACCTGATGACAGCTTCCCAATTCCATAAATATAAATGTGCATTGTCATTTTTAACAGCTGTAGAAGGTCTATTATAGTTCTTTATTTATTCAATAAATATTCATATACGGACAAATCGCTAGCTAGATTCTAGAGACGCCTTTGTAGGTAAGCAGGTCTGTGTCCACACAAGTTCAGTGTAATTCATTTAATTAACCCCTACAGCAGGACAGTCAAGCCGTTCAACTCCGCTATTAGAAAAGGCTTACCTTGAGTACCTTGCACGTACATTTTTGTGCCCTCGCCTAAAGGCTTCCTTAGAGTAAATTCCCAGAAAGGCTCCTTACTTGATAAAAGACATATTGTAAGTATTGGCACGGATGCAGACGGACATCCAGGTGAGTTGTTCCGACTGGCATTCCCACCGACAGTGCTGGCTGCTTCATGGTCTTGCCACACTGAGATCAGTCATTTTCTAAGTCCTTGCCAATCTACTGGGCAAACTTGAAAATAAATTAAGCATTCTCTCTCTCTCTCATACACTGACAGCCCATATCTTTTACCTGGGAGGCTTATCTTTTTCTTAGGGATTTATAAAAGCGATTGTGTACCTTAAGGAGATGATCGTGCATTATACAAATACTTCCCGATTTTCGTTTGTCTTTGGACTTGTTTGTGGTCACTTTAAACCTTAGTGAAGCTGGGAAACAGATGAAGAAATAAAATGGAGTCACTGTGGTCAAGCTGCTAAATCATTAACTTTGAGTGGGCCGAGGTGCAGGGAAACACTCATTCCTGTTCTGACTCACCTGGGGACTTGAACTTCTGAACTTCCAGTGCTGCGTCAGCATCTGCACGCACACCAGAGCGTGGTGCGTCTACCCCGGGCCTCCAGCAGACCCCTGGTTTATGTCGGGACGGCCGCTGGACGTCCGACCGTCTCCATCCCCAGATGGGGCCCCAGGGCTAAGAATGCAGAACTGATTCTGCTCAAGAATGTGCTTCTCGCCTTAAGACTCAGACCTGCCTTTCTCCCCGGGACACTCGGGGCATTGCCAACAGGTGTCTCTGGTTTGCAAGCGGTGAGACCCTGAACAAGTCTGGTCATTTTGGTTTGTAGCCAAGGCCACACCACTTTTTTGAGTTCCGCCGGCACCGCCCAGAACAGCTTCTAGAGACTGACTATCTGTAACTCTCTCTGCTGATTGACAAGCCGCTGAGTGAAGGCATTGGGACCGCCTGGGACCCTCGTGTAGACTCGGTGCACGGGCAGCCAGGCCTGTGTCCCTGGCAGGGCAAGCGGGGGCCTTGGGGGCCCTGCCAGTCCCTCTCTGGAAGTGGCAGAGGGGCAGCCAATTTAAGTACAGGCCTGGAAAAAGCGGTGACCGTCTGCACGTGGTCTGGGGAGGAAGATGGGGCGGAGGGACAGACGGAGATGTGGTGGCCGTGGTGGGCAGTGGAAATCTGAGGCCGAGGGAGAGGCGGAAAGACGATTTTGAGGAAGTCTGTCCGTAGGAGAGGCAGTTCTCACGGAACCGTGGCGAGAAAAACCACGCTGCTCGTCACTGGTCGAGGTGGGAAACGGACGTGTTTCTGGACCACGAGTGGGTGCTGGTGATTGTAGTGCCGGCCGCAGGCACCGGGCTGTGTGTCAGGTCCCCTCGTGGACCCCCCACACATGGTCCTTGGCTAGAAAACCGCTCCAAGCCCCTCAGGGAACTTTCTTGGACCCGTGCGGGAATTCTTTGCTGATGTGGCACCCAGGGAGGCTTGCTGGGGCTCTCAGGAAAGAGAAGTGACTGTGTCCCCCTCTAAGGGGACAGGGAAGCAGGGCCCAGGGCGCATGGTCTCAGGGGAACTTGCCTTAGGAGGCTCTGTGGGAGGGTGGCAGAGAGAAGCCGGGTCCCGGAGGCCGTGGCTGAGCCCCTGAGCCCTCCGACCCCAAGCCCACCCCCTTCCAGGCTTCCTGTTGCCGGAGGCAGTGAAAGCCCTGGTCTTTCCCCGCAGAGTCAGAGCCTGCTGTTACTTGCAACTGAAGACATTCTGACCCATGGGGGGGGGGGGGGGGGGGGGGAGGCCGGGCGAGCAGGATCCCGGCAAAAGCACCGAATTCCTGAACACGGTTGTCTGGACCCAGCTCAGACCCAGTGTTTGGACAGGGCCCCTGTCCCAGAGCTGCTCTGCACGGCTCCCGGTTCCCGGAATGTGCTGTGTCCCCTGCCGGCCTGGGTCCTGGCACAGCTGTCTCTGTTGCTGGAACCCTCCCCCCCCTCCCCCGGGCTCCTGACTCAGGCTCCAGAGGGCTTCCCAGCCCACGGCCCCAGGGCGTGTCCTTGCCACGTGCCTCCTCCCCCCACTGCCACCCAAAGCGGCCTGCTCTCCAGACCCATCCCATCTCAGTCCCCACTGACCCCCTGGCACCTCCCCAGGGGTGGCTGGAAGGGTCTCAGTCTGGCGGCGGTGCCTCTGCGCATCTCGGCAGGCGGCCGACCCACAGGGAAGCTGCAGAGAGTTATAAACAATGATCAGGAAAGAAACTGCTTAATTTTTTCTTTGTTAAAAGATTGTATTTATTTATTTTTAGAGAGAGGGAAAGGGAAGGAGAAAGGGAGGGAGAGAAACATCGATTGGTTGCCTCTTGCGTGCCCCACACTGGGGACTTGACCTGCAACCCAGGCATGTGACCTGACTGGGAATGGAACCAGAGACCTTTTGGATTGCAAGCTGACAGTCCACTGAGCCACACCAGCCAGGACTGATTTTTTTCTTTAAGAAGTAGGGTTTGGGGACAAAAAAATGATGTTAGGCAAAAAGCAAAGGAAGTCTGACTAAGAAAAATAGGCAGGTTTTTGTGTGTGTGCTGAATGCTTCATATGCAGTAAAGATCCTTTTATCCTTTTTTAAAAATTGAGATATATTTCACATACCATAACAGTCACCCTTTTAAAGTGTATAAACTCAGTGGGTTTTAGATATTCACAAGTTTGCATGAACGTCGCCATTATCCGAGCCCAGAAGACTTTCATCACCCCCAGAAGGAACCCCCAGTCCACTAGCAGCCCCTCCCCCAGCCCCTGGCAGCCCCGAATGGGTTTTCTCTGTGGACTCGCCTGTTCCGAACATTCCGAACCTGTGAGGTCACACCGTAGGTGATGTTGTTTTTTACTCTGCGTCCTGTTTTCGAGGCGCGGCAGACCTGGAGCGTGCGTCTCAGAGCTTCTTCCCTCCGCGTGGCCGAGTGACAGTCCCCGGCGAGCCCACGGCCCTGCCAGTCCGTCCTTCACCAGCTGGCGGACGGGGGGCTGTTCCCACTCAGGGGCTGTGGTGGAGAGCACTGCGTGAACCAACGCCCGTGTGCGAGCGGTTGTGTGAGCGTGCGTGTTCGTTTCTCGCAGGGGCGTGCCCAGGAGTGCAATGGCGCGGTCCTGGGGGGACTCCGCGCTTCACTTTTGGGAGGACCCGTCCGGCTCGTTTCCAAAGTGGCTGCACCACTTTGCGTTCCCACCAGCAAAGGCGCAGGGGCTCCGACTGTTCCTCGTCCACGGCGACACCCGTTTGCACAAATTATTTTGGGCAGACGGCGTGGAGACAGAGACAGGAATGCTACACGCTGCACTCTTGTGGTTAATGCCCCGAAATCAAACAATCGGCAGCCACCTCTCCAATGTGCCCTGGGGCGTGCGTAAGAGCTCTGGAGGACGAGGCAGAGGAGAAGAAAATGACTAACTTAGGAATGCAGGAGCCATGTAACCAAAGTTACCTGCTCAGCTAAAAGCGCCCGCATTGGGTCAAGAGCCTGCGGAAAACCTGAACTTGAAACGTCTGCCGGCTTGGCCTTCGAGTAACCCTGAGCCCTGCCCTGCTGGGGCTCAGGCGCGTCTGGGCCTGTTGGGAGGTATGAGTTGCCAGAACTTGGGGTTTAGGAGGGAGGACTTGGGAGAGAGAACCCTGTAAGGGAAGGAGGCTGCTGCAGAGACTCCAGTGAAGGCTGCGGAGGGAGGCGTGGTTCTGAAGGCACGGGGCTCCGCCCCCAGCCCCTGGCCTGCTCCCCCCCCCCCCACACACACACAGTCTGAGAACAGAAAGCCTGTGCACCAGAGCTGGCGCCACGGCGTGCATCCTCCTGAAACTCGCGTGTTAAGACCGTGCTGTCCACGTGGCAGTGCTGGGAGGAAAAGCTGGGGGAGGCATCAGGCTCTGAGGCTGGAGTCCTGCAGTTAGTGACACTGCAGGCCCCAGAGAGACCCCAAGCCCCTCTGCCCTGAGAAGACCCGGTGAGAAGTCAGCAGCCCGCACCCTGGGCAGGGCCTGGCCCTGCTGGCACCCTGCCATTGTTTCTGAGCCACCCAGTGGGCGGCATTGCCGTTACAGCTGCCCGAAGGGACTGACGGGTCATCCTCAGTGAAGCTCTGTGGTGTTGGGGACCAGGCAGACCGTCTCACGCAGACACGGGCACCCCCCATGCAGGGGAAGGGGAGGTCCTTCCTCCCGCCACGTCATCCCGCGCTGTTCCCTCCAGCAGGCCCATCCCAGCAGGCCCAGCAGTGCACAAGGAAGGCCCTGGGGGGCAGGGGGTGGCAGTGGCAGTGGGCCCGTGGGGGTGGCGGCACACTGGAGGCACCATGGGACACCCGCTGGCAGCTGCAGAGGGGGTGACGGTTGGGCAGGGGATGTCGCTGAAGAGCAGGGACAGGGCAGAAGGATGGTGGCGGCAGCTCTTGGTGGCCCTGAACTTCTGGGCGAACCAGGTGAGACTCGGATGGCAGGTGAGGGTAAGGGCCCCAGGTGGTCTTGGCGTCGTCTGCATTTTAAGAGCAGACCGTGTTCCCACTGGTGTGGGCCAGGCACATGCAGTCTAACCTCGTATGAACTCACATGGAAACAAGAGGAAGGAGCCAAACATTCGGGTTAACGACCGAAAACACATTGTCTCTGTGGGGCCACAGGCAGCCCCGAAGAACGGGAAGGTCCCTGCCCCGCGCGCCTCTGCCACTGTGGCGGCCCGTGGAACCGCTGTTTCGTGGCCTTTCTCACTGCGGCTTGCCCTGTTGTTCTCAGGCTTGGGAACTTTCCGTGACTTCAGAGGCACTTTCCCACGGGCTTCTGACCCTCCTGACGTTCGAGCTTATAGATGAAAATGTGACTCGCGGTCAACGGCAGGAAAAATCAGCAGTGGATACAGCGAACAATAGTCAAAAAAATGAGGAAAGTTCCATCGCACCCAAGATGTCGAGTTAACAAAGAGCCAGCCCAGGGGGCCTGGGGGACTGGCCCCACCCCGGTGCCTCCGGTCCCACAGGAGGGCGGGGGCGACCCGGGCACGCAGCTGTTTCCACGTCACTGACATGCTACACCCCCGACCCCAGGGCCGACCTCTGCTTTTCTGGTGGGACGAAACACACTCAGTTCAGGCCAGTGCTCATTTCTGAATGCATCATGAGCGATAGCATCAGACTTATCAACAGACACTTTCCAGACTATTAAGAAATTGATACAACAGATCTTATCCGATAAAGTTCTTGGTGTGTGTCGAAGCATGAAGCGGCGTGGGGATTGGCGGGGGTGGGTTGAGTTAGAGGAGTGGCTGGGACCTCGAGCTGGGAGAAGATGCGGATTCCCTCCTGGGGGTGGGGGGCCAGGCGGATCAAAGCGGGATTTCAGCCCACGGCCCCACACACAACCTGATGTGGGGACAGGCTGAGTTTTGATCTCCTCTCTACGGTGGTTCTCGTCTAAAACTTGTGTTTGAACTCGGGGACTCGCTGCTGAAACAAAGGGCGGAACAAGAGAGAGACTGAGACTGAAAAGCCCTGGGTCCGGGCGAACCCGCCTCTGCAGGTGTGTGTTTCTCCGGAGGCGCCGCTCCTCCTGAGCCCTGCACGTCCGCACCGCGCAGCACGAGCTTGGTGGCGGCTCTCCTGGCGGGCAGGGGCGTCCGCCCACCCCTGGCTCCCTGCACAGGGGCCTGGCACTGCTCACGGGGGCGGGGGGGGGGGGCTGCTCTGTTCCTGGGGCTTGAGGTGGAAGCGGAGAAGAACCTGTGGCTGCGCCGACCCCTGGCTGACCTCCCTGGCTGAGGGGCGGGGGCTGCCTGGAGTGCGCAGGCTTCTGCGGGGGCAGCTGGGGCTGACAGAGGGGCCGGAAGGAGAGGGTGGCCACTCCTGCAGAAGCAGGAGAGCTACGGACCGACGTGACCCAAAGGACAGAGCCAGCGGGCGCGGGGCAGGGCGGGGGACCCCATCCCCCGCCCGGACCCTTCAGCACGCAGCTCCCGACAAAAATGAAACGTAGCAGGGAGAATCAGACCAGCGCTGCGGTTGTTTTCCGCTCTGTTTTTTGCGCCTCGGCCCTCAGGCATTTCAGGGTGTGGCAGAGAGGCAGGTCTGGAGGGCTCCCCACACACCATGTTGGCATCGGGCCGGGAGAGGGACCGGGACAAGCAGGGAAAGCCACACACAGAGGACAGGAGAGAGGAAAGATGGAAAGGGCGACATCAGGGTGATGTCTGTAGGCCCCTTGGTGACAGTCTGGCAACACGACAGGTGACCAGGCCGGAGCCCACAGAGCCCATCGAGGCCCCCGCCCCCAAGGCCCCCCCATCCCCTCCTTGGGCTCTGGGCTCCTGGCATTGGGGGGGTCAGCTCCCCCCAGTCCTGAGCCCCGAGGGGCCCACAGGGCAGTGCTGGGCTCCCTGCTTGTTAGTGAACCTGCAGCGGGCCTGCAGCTCCCAAGGCCGGTGGCCAGGTGGCGGGGTGGCCAGGTGCGAGACCAGCAGCAGGTTCCCTGGCTCCGTAGCTGGTGGGCTGGCCCGGTCTCTGCCCAGGTCCTGCTTTTCCACCAGCCAGGACCAGCCCCGATCGCCTGGGGCTGCCCTTCTCCCTGGGTTCCCCCAGGGGCCCACGCCGCCCGCTCCCACACACTGTCCGCTAACCACCGGACTGGCCAGAGTCCTCACTGCGAGGTGTTGAACGCCCGCTCTGCAGCGAGGCGGGGAAAACAAGCAGCCTGTGCCCCTCACTGAGGCGCACGAACGGTCAGCTTCTCACCACACTTGTGTTTCTTGTTACACACACACACACACACACACACACACACACTCGTAACTGTCCCTATAACGTCCTCTTCAGCCACGGTTTTTCCAGTTCAGGATCAGGCGTGGCGCTCAGCTGCCACGTCTCCTTTGTTTTCTTGGAAGTAGAGCCACTCGCTGGCTTTTTAAACTTCGGCATCTTGGACGAGCGCAGGACAGCTGCTTTGCAGACTGCCTGCCACGCAGGAGTCTGGTTTTCGCCTCGTGGTTAGACTCAGGCGGAGCATTCTGGCCGTGTGGCTCCACGGGCGGAGGTGTGCCCTGCGCCCAGGCACCTGCTCCACACCTGCCTGCACGGCGGCCCCTCCCGGGCCCCGTGGGAGGACAAGGCAGTGGCGGGCCAGGTGAGGAGCTGGCTCGGGCGGCCCCAGGCTCCGAGCGCTCAGACACCCTCAGACAGGTCAGCCTGGGCGGGGTCAGAGGGAAAGAGCTCAGTGTCCCCCCTGACCCCTGCTTTCGTCGGGCACAGATGAGCTCTCAGATACACGGGCAGCTTACAGTTCTGTCCTAGTGCCCAGGTGCCCAGGCGGAGGGGGCGCCAAGCTGGAAACCGAAGGGCAGGACCCCAGAGCAGCGGTGCCGCCAAGGCCCCGTGGCCCTGAGAGGCTCTGTTGTACGGCCTCGGTGTGTGGGCCGAGTTTCTGGGCTCGAGCGGACACGCCAGGCGAGGGCTGCCACACTGGGCTTCGCACAGAGACAGGAAGGGGCAGGGGCTGCTGCGGGCCGTCCGGCGGACAGCGGGGATTTGGCAGGTGCCCACGCTCTGCGTCAGCAAGGAAGCCGGGTTCCTCTTGGAAAGGAAGCGCACGCACTGTAACTTCAGAGTCCAAGTCGGAGCCAAAACCCCGATCCAGAGCCTGATGGGCGGCAGGAAGCCTCGGACGGGGGCTCCTCCCGGCAGGAAGCCTGTCCTGTTGTTCTGTGTGTCCCCCGGCACAGTGCTGGGGGGTGGGGGAGGCCCCGATCCTCACCATCGAGTGAATGGATACGATTTCTAAAGAAGCAGGGCCAGGTTTAGCATCCGAGAGTCTGATTTCTTTTATGTATGTATTTTGTAATTAAAAAAAATCCTCACCCAAGGATATGTGTTGTATTGATTTTAGAGACAGGAGAACCTTTGGGACAAGGCCCAGCTGGAGGTTGGAACCCACAGCCCAGGCCTGTGCCCTGAGGGAATCGAACCCACAACCTTTTGGTGCACATGATGAGGCTGCAACCAGCCAGGCCGCCCAGCCAGAGCTTGCCTTCCTTCCTTCTCCTCTCTCCCTCTCCCCCTTCCTTCCTTTCCGTACTTATTTATATTTTTTACAGATCGGTACGTTCTCTTGTGCACTGACAACCTGAAAGTCCTTCTGTAGACATCTGTGTCTCTTGCCCCGACACCGTCTTCGGGTGGGCAGAGCCGTCCAGGGGCGGCTCCCGGAGCTCAGACTCCGAGCCCACTCACGGCTCACCAGGCGGGAGCGCGGAGACGGCTCTCATCAGGGTGACCCTCGGGCAACATTTCGAACACCTTTCAGAGAGCAGCTTCTGCGAAACCGCTGTGACTTCATCCTTGAGGCTTCAGTGTGAGCCACAGTCTGAGTGAAAAAGCCCATCTTCTGCCAGGTGGAGAAGGTCCAGGACACACTTCCTGGCTGTCCCCCTCTCAGGCTCCTTGACTTCCGGCAATGCCATGAGGGTCGCCCCTGGGGTCAGAGCTCCCAGGGCCCCATCTATGGGGAGGATCCCAGCATCAGCATCCCAGGGAGGACACTGCATCCCCGGGCCTGTAGGGTGGAGCCGCAGTGAGGTGCCAAATGACGGCAGTGGGTCCTCAGTTCACCTCTGGCGTTTTCTCCCCCGCTTCTTCAGTGGCCTGCTCCCTGCCCTCCTGGTCCTCAGGGCCAGAGCCCCTTGTTCAGGCCATGCGGCCAGCACCGACCCTGCAGACCCCCTGAGGCCTGTGTCCTGCCTGCAGGTGGCTGGGAGCGGCCAGGGCCTCCCCCGTCCCGGCTCTGCTCCCCGCTACGTGGCAGAGACAGAAGGCAAGGCATGGACGTGAGGCGCAGGCCGGCTTTTCCAACGCCGTAAAGTGCCGGCCAGAGCTCTCGCTCCGACACCGGAAAGGCTGCTGGAGAGTCCAGAAGTGGCTCTGGACATGAGCCATGGAAAGAAAGCTTCAGCAGGGAGGCTTGTCACTTAATTAAGACAAGAGGGTAGAGAGGGTCAGGGCCTGCGTGCTGGAAGCTTCCAGTAAGCCCTGCTCCGCTGGCGGGGCGGTGGCTCTGGAAGGTCTCCTACTGGATAGGAGCACCGTGCAGGGGAGTGGGGGGTGGGGGTGCGTCAGGTGACTTCAGAGAAAAGCAGTTCAGGCGGGGAGGGGTGCAATGCTGTCCCCGGCCCCGCCCTGAGGGGGGGGAGGAGGCTCAGAGAGGGCGTGGGTGTGAGCCATCGGCCCCTGCGTCCAGCCTGGCCTCCCCGGGTGGGTTTCCTTCTGCACGCAGGCTGCCGCTTGGATTCCCAGCACCAACGGCTTTGTTCTCAGGGGAAGCGAACCACAGTTAATTCTAAACACTCACAGAAGACGATGGTGGTCAGACCCGACTTGGTGTGATCACCTCGCTTAGCGCCCTCCTTCTCATGGTCCTGCCCGAGTCCCTTGTTGGTGGGGGGCGACCTCGGCTTCTACCAGCCTCTGGCCTTCTTCCCTTCCCTCCCTTCCCTTCCCTTCCCTTCCCTTCCCCTTCCCCCTCCCTTCACTCTTCTTCTCCTCCCCTCCCCCCACCTTTCTTCCCCTCCCGGTTTTTGGCCAACCCATCAGTACAGCTGAGCCCTCCTGGCCCCACAGCCGCCCTGATCCAGCTCTGTTGTCCTTTACGGGGAACTGATGTCAGCCGGCTGGACTGTGGCCCGGACACCAGCTGCTGCTAATGAACTGGCCGGGGGAACAGAGCCCTGCCGCTCTCCTGGACCAACGGCGTCATCTCTCCTTGGAGCTCAGAAAACCTGGGGATCCGGGGAAGAACAAAGGTCATCCCAGCTTGTTGTTTGCCTTCAGTGTCGTGGGGGCCCCGGTCACCGGTCACCGGCCGTTTGTGGGGTTAGAGAACTTATGCAGATGAGCAAAGGTCAAAGGCCAGCCCCGCCTTGCAGCACTGGCCCAGTCACTCCCCTCCAGGACGGCAGGCCTGGGCCTGAAAGTTCTTGTATTTTTAACCCTGTGGCCCGGGGGCCAGGCTTGGCAGCTGCCCAAGGACTGAGCGGACCTTGGGAGGCTGAGCTTCAAGGAGCCCCTGCCACGGCCTGCGTCCTCCTCCGGAGGTGGGCGGGGCCTGGGAGGCCGCTGGGCACTCCGTGCCCGGGTCTTCTTTACTGAAGCCCTAACACCCAGGACTTGAGAATGTCGTAGCCCTGGGTGGAGCTTGTGTCGTCACTGAGGCAGATTGAAGTGAGGTCACAGGGCTGGGACCTCACCCAACAGGACCCACGCCCCTAAAGGAAGGATCCCTGTGCACACAGAGACTAGAAGGCAGCCCACGGAGGGGAAGCCTTCGGGGGCCTGCTTGTCCCCCAGGGGCACTGCCGAGAGGAGCCCTGGAGGCCATGGCAAGCCACGTGAGCTCCTGTCCCCGGGCCAGTCCTCAGGCAGAATCACATGTGCCGCCTGCTTTTGTGAGGGGGAGGCCCGAGGATGTGTGAGGGCCACCAAGGCCCTGCCGCCTCTGAACTCTCGGCATGAAATCACGTCACAGACTTTGCCCTTTGCGATAGGAAACAGGAGGGACTGTGACTCACCACAGCCCTTTGAAGAGGGAGGAGGGGTTTGTGCCCAGAGAGCCGTGTCCCACGTTCCAAGGGCGACCCCCCCACCTCCTGCAGCTCCGTCCCCCCCCCACTGTGGGCGAGGCATTTCTCAAGGCTAAACCCACTTTCTGTCAGGTCATCAAAATACCTGGGAGCTTCATATAAGGAAGGGAGCTCTTAAGGCAAATAATTTCAAAGAGCTTTCCTAAGAAACCCAGAACGTTTGGCTTTCAAAGACAGAATCCTCCAGATCTAGCAAGTCAGTGCACTGCTCTCTACATTTCCTTCATGACACCGGGGAAATCGACCAACAGCGGTCTGCTCAGCCAGGACAGGGCTGCGTCCCCAAGATGCATGGCCTGGGTGTCCCGGAGAACAGGGGTCTCCCGATTCGGAGGGGATCCCAGATTTGTATGTGCCACAAAACAGTCTCCGAGGAACTGCAGAGGCGGGAAGGATTTCGTTTTAAACACACAGGGAAGATCCCCGGAGAAAACAGAAGTCTCGTTTCCGTGCTGACGAAATCCCCACGACCAGCGGAGAACCTTCCTGGGCCCCCGCTTCCCCAAGGGGAGTGCAGGCACGGAAGCTCCGACTGGTCTCTCAGGGTCACTTCGGAAAAGCAGGTGACCGTCAGGAGAGCCCTCTGACGCCCCGAGGGAGCACAGCGATCCCTGAGGGCAAACTGGGACACGGAGCCGAACAAAAACCCGTCGTTGGCCGCCTGGGACGGTCCTGGAGGCAGGGAGGCTGCTGACACTCTTCTGAGTCTGGAAGCACTTTGTGTGCTGGGCTGGAAGTTTCAGAGGAAAATTTTAAGACATTTTAAAGGAAATTTCCAGATCTGCTGGCTGGTTTGCTCTTCCTGGATCTTAACGGAACCGTTCACATTTGAAAATCGGGCTGAACTCTGCCCGGGCTGAGCCAAATTTTGCCCGTGTCCCTGACCAAGTCCTGCTGCCCCGAGTGTGCACAGCGGTGGGTGGGTGGCTGGGGGCAGTGTGGCCCGTGGCCTCAGCAGACACAGTTTATGGTCCTGACTCCACAGGCCACGTCTGTCTTCCAGGCTGGGAAGCTGGGAAGGCTCTGAAGCCAGACTGATTTTTTAAAAAATCGATTTAGGAGAGAGAGTGTGAGAGAGAAACATCAATTTGTTGTTCCAGTTATTGATGCATCATTGGTTGACTCCAGGATGTGGCCTGACCAGGGATCGAACCCACAGCCGTGGGGTGTTGGGACCACGTTTTAACCAGCGGAGCCGCCGGCCCAGGACCAGGCAGACCAACCAGGCAGACGACTCTGCTCTGGCGGGATTTCACGCTGAGGTTTGTGATCAACAAGCAAAAATCAAAACAGAACAAAAAGATCCTGAAACCGACAGGACTCACAATTTTTCTGTTCTGAGGCCTGCGCGCTTCACTAAAATGTACGTGGAGAGAACAGATGGAGAGGAGATTTGGAAAGAAGACAAATCTTTTGGGTCGTGTCTCATGTCCCTCCACGGCCAAGCTGACGCTTCGCTTTGTGGTTATCTCTGGGCCTTCGGGAAAACGACACCGGATGAGAAGCATTACCAGTAACACCAATCCACGGATTTCTCAGTTGTCCCTGTCGCTGCTCACTCCTCCCGTGAAGAGACTGCGTGTAGAGGACACGCCTCACGCCAGTGACGGAATCCCCCCGGGACGTTCACCCGCCATCGTTTCGATTCTCCGTGCGCCTGCCTCTCCCGTCCCTGGAGGGGCACTGGGGGCTTGTGTCGGGCATCTCAGGGCCAGTCTCAGCAGCCAAAGTGCAGAAGACACCCTGGCTGGTGTGGCTCAGTGGGTGGAGCAATGGCCTGCAAACCAAGGGGTCAGCAGTTCAAGTCCTAGTCAGGGCACATGCCTGGGCAGTGGGCCAGGTCCCCTGTGGTGCGGCACATGTGAGAGGCAAGCACACAGTGATGTTTCTCTCCTTCTCTTTCCCCCTTCTGTCCTGTCCCTCTAAAAATAAATAAATAAATAAATAAATAAATAATCTCAAAAAAATAAATACAGTGCAGAAGAAGGAACTGACTCACTGCCTGGCCGAGTGTCACAGACCCGGGCCCTGCAGGTAGGAGCCGAGTGCTGTGGGCTGCAGTCACTGCGTCCTCGCCAGCACCGAGGACAGTCACGCAGTGTTTTCTCTTTCTGTCAACACTAGATGTGAGGAAATGGTCTTTCTTTGCCATTTTATGGCTATTTGCACTTCCTTTTCTGGGACTTGTCCATTTTTATCCGTTTTCTCACCTTTGAACTGGAATCTCAGACTTCCCCCTACGTGGGTCCCCATCTCTGTGCTGTGGAGCCGCCAGAAGCTTCCCAGGCTGAGCTTCCTCCTTGGACTGAGTTCGTGATTCTCTGGGATCCGTGGAGTCAGTGCTGCGTCCGTCATCAGGCCCGCGGCTCTGATTTCCACGTGCTTCGTCCACGGTTCTCAGACGCGAGAGTGTTTCCGCCCAGGCCGAGGGGAGAGAACGCTCGCCGGGTGCCATTTTGCCTGTGGTTTTGGGTCAGGTGCGCGTGGTGCGCACTCCACTCACGCAAGTTTTTTGCAGGCCGGGCGGAGCCTGGCCAGGCGTCAACGATGAGACAGCTGCAAGCCCGCCGGGCAGGGGAGACGAGCCCCGAGCATCGGCACAGGGTGGGCTGTGGGCAGCGGGCAGCAGGATGGGGCCGGGGAGCCCCGGGCCCCCGCCCCCCTCCCTCAGCTTCCTGCCCTCAGACTGTTCTGTGAGGTGACTCGATAAAGTAAAGCAGTTTCCGCAGCAGCTAAATCTGAGTGACCACAGGGCATTAATCACACTGCTGCATCGCGGGGAGAGTCAGCAGCAACAGGGGAGCGGAGGGAACCATTTAAACAAGGACGGAGGAGAACAACGAAATTCACCCTCACCGAGGTTTCAGATCAGGACCCGGAGAGGCAGGGCTGTCTGGAGTGGCTTAGACATGGCCTTCGCACGATAAACAACGAAAGGCAACCTCAGAGTGACCAGCGGCGGGAAAGAAAGAGAACAATCTCATCTGTAATCAGAGAGGCCCCGAGCGTCCCACAGGATGACTGTCACCGACCTGCTGCCACCTTTCGGGGTCGGCCCGAGGCCAGGAGGTGCTGGCCCCAGGGACAGGGACTGGCCCCGCCTTGTGGGGGTGCTGTTTGCTCTGGCCCGGTCACACGCCTCCCCGCAGGGCCCGCAGTGGCTGGAGCAGGGAGCTGCGCGGTGGGGCCTTGTCCCTCAGGGCCCACTTGCCGTCACATGACACCCCGGTCCCTAACAGGGCATGGCCAGCACCCCCTTGGGCTTTCACAGCCCTAGGAAACCGCAGGAGACGGACTGGAAGGGGAGGAGGAGCCCCTCCCGCCTGCCCTCCGGGGGCTCAGCCGGTGAAGCGCGGCGGTTCACTCTGCTTGACCCGGCTAGGCCACGCTCTGCGGGCATTTGGTTAAGTCTGGAGGTTGAAGGTATTTGTTTTAGAGCAGATTAACACTTAAGTTAATAGACTTTGAGTATAAAATGCCACTCTCCATGATGTGGGGGGCCTCACCCACGCACGGGGGGGCCCCACAGGACAGACTGACCTCTCCAGAGGAGGAGGACTGGCCAGCGGCTTTGGGCTGGCCAGCCTGGGCAATCACAAGGCAATGCCTCAAAGTCTCTGTCTCTCGCTTGGTTCTGTCTTCTGGAATGTGCTGTCTACTACTGTGAGTCACAGGCTCCAGTGTGGAGGCCAGAATTGCACAGTGGTGTTGCTGCGTCTCTTTTTATTTGCATGTGAGACAGTCTTTGCCATAAAATTAGGACTGACTGGTCCCAGCAGGGCACTCAGCTCTGTGTGCCTCCGCACAAGGACGGGCCCAAGGGCACTTATGTGCGGACTGAGGGACGCATCCTGACCCTGACTGAACCCATTCCTTTTTCTGAGATGTGGAGCAAAATCATTTAAAATGCTTTGAACTTAATGTTTTCCATTAGAGTGGAACACAGCCTCATCCGGGAATTGATTGACTAAACAAGTGTTAAGTGCCCGCTGTGACCAAACAGGACTGTCCACCCGGGGTCAAGGAAGGGCCAGGGGTAGGCGTCCGCAGGGTGCGCCTCCCACTCCCTGGCCTGTCCTTCCCGCCCGAGAGTGAGGTGGATGGGAAGCTTCTCACCCGGCAGAAGACAGCCTCATCTGCTCACTGTGGAAGGGGAGGGGGCACAGGAGAGTGACCTGGGGACAAGGAACTGGACTGAGGGGAGGCAGAAGGCCCAGCTTCGCTGCCGTTGTCGGCCCTGGATGGTGGCCCCACGCCCTCGGCCAGCAGCTGGACTCCCCTTCCATCAAGTGACCCATCCCTTCCGAAATGCCCCTCCACGAGAGGCCGCAGCAGAGTGCTGTCCGAGAGGGCAGGCCCTTTTAGATTTGTGGGCATTGGACCATCCATCCCGTCCTAGGACCGGACACGGCGGGGCGGCGGTCACACGAGCTGCCGGGTGGGACACACACGACACCCTGAGGAGTCCGACTCTGTGAAGGAGCAGTGTCGGGCGGCCGGGCCACGGCGTTTCCCGGCAGGACGCAGTTAAACCAAGCCCCAGAGTTGCTTTTCTTCAATCTAATTTTGATTTAATCTCCTTTATATTAAGAAAACAAGTTACATGGCAGAGAGTACTGTTTGGGTGACGAGGTTCCCGTCAGAGCGGTTTTGCATGTTTACCGGACCCAAAGCCAGTCCCCTGGGGCCCTGCTGGCTGCCGGCGCTTTTCACTTGGGGTCACAGACCAAGGTCGCACCCTAGTGTTTGGGTGTCCACGCAGCTGGGATTTTGTTCGGACATTGGGACTGGGCTGAGAAAACCAACCGGCACCCGATTCCAGAAAGCAGTAGCCCAGTGCTTCACAAGGGAGACGCAGCATCCCTGTTTTTTCAGTTCTTCCCAATGAGCTCAAGCGTTTGGCATTTTGAACACTGGCATTTCACCGAGTCCTTGGAGAGAGAATTTGATGGCATCTGTCCATCTGTCCTGCCCGGGGTGTCACTGTTTCCCCTATGAATCGCTCGCTCTCTGCTGGCCAGAGTCACAGGAGGGAGCAAAGCCCCGTGTACAACGCAGAGAGAGCAAAACGCAGTGTACGGGAGCAGTTAAATGAGTCTCGAAACTTACCTATCTCAGGTGAAATTTGCCGAAATGAAAGTGGTTACACGGGCCGAGACCCCGTGGGAAGGCCCCACACTTCCGGGTGGCCAGCAGGAGCAGCAGATGCGTGGGCCCCAGTGACAGCTGCTAACCGACCCCCCCTCTACCAGCAGTTCCGGCCAACAAGCACTTTTGAGACTATCTCCATCGCTAAATGTCTGGAGTTCTAAGGCGATTTCGTGCCAAGGTTGGCAGAGAAGAAATGATGTCACACTTGAGACGGACTTCAAATACTTCTGTGGAAGGGGAAGGAAGGGGGCAGTCTAATCGCGACTAAATCTAGGGGCTGGGTGTTATGGGGGTGTTAGCGTTTTGTTATTTTTTTATTGTAAATAACACATTGTTTTCTCTACTTTTGTGTGTGCTTGAGAATTGCCAGACTTTTTACAAGAGTTTAGGAAGTAAGTTCATCTATGTGCGTCTGCGCCTGTGGACTGGACCGGACGCTTCCCCGGAGGGACTTCTGGCCGCTGGCGAGTCTGGGGCTCTTCACTGGTTCAAGAAGTGACTTTACCCATCCTTCTCCGAGGGAGGAATAACTCAAATCCGTGCCCTGTCTCGGGGTATGGGTTGTGTATTAACACAGTGCAGTTTTTAACATTAGCCTAAAATTAAAGAAACCTAAACTTTTCAGTGGAACAAGGAGGCTGTATTATATGGAAGACATGGGCTTTGATTCTGGTTAAGTTTTAGTTTGAACGAAAAAGAGGAGAGTATCAGATCCACGGAGTTTTCCCGGGGGGAGTTTGCCCTCCCCCCGCCAGTTCTGGGGGTCACACCTCACGCAGAATCGCCCCTGCCCGGCCCCGCCTCCAGTCTTCTTCCCGGGACCCCACGCAGCCCTTGGCCAGGCTTCCCACACCCGTCCCCACGGGGCCTGCCTGCCTGCACCCAGACACAGCCCTGCGTCTGCAGGAGCATGCGTGCCTGGCCCACACGGAAGCTGGCTGGGGACCCGGAACGCTGGCCGAAGTCTCTGGTCCTGGATCAGAAACAAAAGCGAAGCCAGGCAGCAGCAAACCCACGAGCTCACTCGTTCTGCACAATTCCCACGACTGCCTGGCCTGTGGCGGCAGCTTCCACGCAGCGATGGAGGACACGGAGACTCACTGTCACACTCACGTCAGGGGGACGACCTTTTGAAAACCAGGTGCCGGGTTCACCGCCCTGAACAGCAGGGGCCTGGCAAGCTGCAGGACGGCGCAGCAAGTGACACAACGAAGACGGACACGCCGCAACAGGACCTGGCCAGGCACCGCCCTGTGACACCCTGAGGATCTTTATTGCAGCAAACACGCCCGCCCACCTCAGATCGAAGAGCAAAACACGGCCCGCTCCTCCGGGGGCGACACCCACGCAGAGCAGACGGAGTGACGGGAGCGGCAGTGGTGAGGGGCTACAGGAAAGGTGGGGACCGGGGTCACTCCCACCGTTCCTTTCCTGTCCTGATCACAGCCACGCAGCAGTGGGCCGCGTCTCCCTCGTTTCCAGTGCCCTTAGGGACACGCCCAGAAATGCGGCCACGGCAGCGTTTCGGAGCGAGTTGGCTGGGGCTGTCACCGGAGCCCGAAGCGTCGTGAAGGGCCTCTCGGAGCCAGTGGAGCCATCACATGAAAAACTGAACGATCAGGTTGGCCAGGCCCAGGAGAATGATGGCCACGTGCGCCAGGAGCCTGGGCCACGTCAGCCGGCCCTCCTGGCGGAGGGCGATGATGTAGGTGAGCGCCGGGTAGATGAAGACGAAGGCCAGGCCGCAGGCCGCACCCGAGTACCTGCAAGGGAAGAGCGTCCTGAGTCCACCTGTCTCACGCTTGCCTTTTCCCACTCACAAGGAAGACACGTACAGCGCGACTTAAACCCTCCTCAGCCCGAGAGCAGAGTTATCTGAGTCCCTTCTCGCTGACATAAATGAAGCAACTCATTTTACTTGCTAAGTTAATAAAAAGTATCATTTCCTGTTCATCTCTAGGGCATCTGCTCGGCAAAGAGATTCTTATTCATCTCTCAAATCCCCATCGTTCCTGAGTCTCTGGCTGTGGCTGCTTCCTCAGAAACATCTGGAGGTCGGCTTTCCAGCTTTGATGTTTCGTGAGCGAATCACACGTTCTGAGCATCTGCGGACAGCGAGCACCCCCGCCCCTCCCCAGCCCGCAGCCTGAGTATCAGAGACGGTCCCAGAGACACCCGGACCCGAGCCCGCGCCGTCTCCTCCTCGCTTTCGGGGGACGGTCCGCCAGGGACTGGAGTCCACGAGACCCGGGAGCCTCGGCTACTCTCTCGGGTGAGGCTGGCTCCCCGGCAGCGGCGGCTTCGCCCTGCTTTCAGGGGTTCGGAGGAGCAGCTCATGGAGACCCCGCAGCTCCCAGAGACTCTGAGGTCACAACCCCAACTCCCCACCGGCTCCTGGCTTCCTCCAAAGCAGTTTTTGGAGGGAAGAATATTCTTCCAGTTTTGGGAAGAAGAATATTGAGCAAAGAGCCATCTGGGATCTGAATTCTTCCCCAAACTTCCTTTGTGACTACAGTTGACACTGACATACACTCTCAAGGAGAAACAGATGGAGAAAATCAGGATGTAGCCTTCACAGATGAGAGAGCCTTCCCAGGTACTCCAAGAAGTTATATAGTATTTATTCAATGCAAGCCTTTATTCTGGGAAAGAAGCCAGGAATACAGTGGAAAATCACGGGAAAAGGGGGAAAAAGAGGAACAGGTGCCCCGAGTGAAGGGACACGGCCCTCCCAGTTAGAGCCCACCACTGCCACCAGGGGACCACGCCCGTGTGTCACCAGCCCGAGAGGCGGGCGCTCCACACTGTTACCGCACAGCCGCAGCCGCAGCCGCAGCAGGAAAAGCCCAGAGGCCCCGTGGGGCGGCCGCCGTACCTGATGATCCCGCCGATGTTGGGGTAGAAACAGGCCATGACCACTCCGGCCCCCACGATCAGCAGGTTAAGAACCAGCACGTGGAAGACGCTGGAAGTTGACGAGAGAGTTTGGAGGGAAGAAAAAAATATGAATGCAGGCAAATCATAACCCTCGATATGAAAACGCAACTCTTCACGAACACCTTTAACACCAGAATGTCTTAAACTTCACAAGGACATCGCAGCAGAGAGAGAAGGTGACCCCGGCCAGGCCTGGGGACGGGTGCTGTGAACAGTTCGTGGCTTGGGAACCGACACATTTTTAACCGATTATTTACCTAAGGGGGGGACAGACTGCACTCGCTCCCTGAGGAGGAACTGGTTAAGACCGTCTGTGTGTTGGTTACTGTAAACGGAACTTTTTCCCAAACTTCATCCAAAAGTTTTCTTCATCTGTGATCCTTTATTCCCAGTAAAGCAGGTCAAGGCACCTTTCACGGGGACGACTCTGAGGAAACTGGCGGTGAGATCGGAGTCGACCGGGGCCCCCCGGGAAGTCTCCGGAGCCTGGCGTGGCACCTGCCCTGGAGGACCCAGGACTCCGCCGTCGCCGGGAAGCGGTGGGGCGCACAGTGGCAGCCCCAGAGCGGGGACTTTGCTCTCCTTACGCATCCCACCTTCGGTGATCAGCTCTCACTTATGTGAAAACAGGTGGATGTTCGTAAACATACCGGTAACCGACTGCTCACATAACCCCTAGTTCCAATGAAAGAGCTGCTTCTCATTAGCTCATGCAGGTCCTTTATATCATTAACTTCTTGGCAACGTGTAGGTTAATCAAATCATAAGATAATATAGCTGGTATCAGACCTACTATAACTCCACTGTAAATAATTCCGGACGAGGAAGTGTTCTCTGTTTTTAAAGCTCTTCGGGGGAAATATCAGTGATGACCTATCCCCTGTAACCATGTCCGCGAGGCAGATTTTTATAGCAAAAGGGTCCGTCACGTTTCCAGACGACCCTGTGCACCGTCGCTGGTTGTGTGGCACAGCTGCTGGTCGAGAGAGAGGCCCTTACCTGGGGTACACGTCCCCAAACAGGTGGCCCAGGAGCTGCACACGTGCCAAGTAGCCCAGGAGCGGGTACACGGTCATCATCTGGAACAGCAGGAAGATCCTCGCGACGAAAGACAGGATATCACTGCTGGGGAAGTTGTCTAGGAAATTCTGACCCGAGACAGAGCGGAGCCATGTTAGAACCCGAATTCTGCGCACACACACAGGGAGCGGGGACACTGCTGCCCGGAGCCCACCCAGGGCCCAGGCTGCGTGCTGTGCTCCTTCGGTCTGTGGGGTTCAGAAGCAGATGGGGTTTAGTGGCGTCTCCAGACAGGTGACGCTGGCACCTTTTTCTTCCGGTTTACGGAGGGACTAAGCTGCAGCTGATCCGGCAGTTAAACGGCAAAGGCCTCGTCCTTCACTGGGGACAGCGGAGCAGCTCCGCGCTGGCAGGCCCGGTGACCGTCTGCCCGTGTGGGCTGCAAACTCTCCTGTGACCGCCCGCTACGCCTGCACCAGCTCGGCAGCGCCCAAGCCTCTCGGAGTCGAGGCCACAGAGTGCCCGTGTCACCAGGACCAGCGCCTCTTACCGTCGGACCCTGAGCGGAAAGGGACTTGTATCCATTCCCTCTCAGGACTCTGTTCTCCATTCGAGTTTGGCAGCTGAGGAAATAGCTCATCGCTCAGTCTCCCCGTGGAAAACGAACCCCACAGCTGCTCCCACCCCCTCGGGAGCAGGCCTGGCGTGGCCGCTCACACGGCAGGGTTTCCGCACACGCTCGGCCACCGAGCACTTCTGGAGTCGGGGGAGCAGCGGGAGGCCACCCACGCTGTCGAGACAGCAGGAGCGCACGCCGGCTCCCCGTGCCAGGCGGTGGGGCCCCGTCACTCCTCCGGGGCCAGGCTCGCTGTCCCCCCACTACACTCTCCCAGAGAAGCTTCTCTCTGACCAGAAGTCAGGCCCCTGGTGGAAGGCTACTGGGTTTTTTGTGAGAAAGTCTGCTGTCCATTGAACTCCAGACCACGCCATGCCTAGGTCCATGACGGGCTGAGCCGGACAAAATCTTACTTATAGCCACCTCCTAGTAAAAGCTTGTCTCTTGGGTTCTGTCCGTCCGTCCCTCTATCTGTTCTGCTGCCCGTCAGCAGGACACGCTGACCTCGAGGCCGGCTCACCCCGGGCATCCTGGGCCTGGGCTCTGAGTGCACGGGAGCTGGACATGCTCTTGGTGGAGGTGTGTGAGCCCGTGACCGCTGCTGTGACCCTTCCCAGAGGGTCGGGGGCTGTTTATTTGTGCCACAGGTGCCAGCAGGACACGGGCTTCCTCAGATGGCCTGTCGGAACACCTGTGGCACGGGCGTCCCCGTCCTCGATGGGAGAGCACAGGGAAGTTCAGAGAGGCTCGGGCAGGGCCGAGAGCCCCCGGGGGAGGGGGCGGCAGCGAGGACAGCCCTGCTGTGGCGTTGCCCGGCCGGCTGCGCGGGTGTGGGCTGGGGGCCGTCGCACGGAGCGCGGAGCTCACCTGTTCGATGCAGCCTTTGGGTAACGGCGGTGAGGGAAACGAGGCGAAAACCAGGACTCCGATGTAGAGGTAGGTCAGCGTCACCAGCAGGTAGGCGATGGACAGGTCCCTCACCTGGGAGGAGAGAGTGGCAGCTCATGGCACAGGGACCCCGCAGGGGTCCGTCCGAGCAGGGTGAGGGGGAGACCGACGCCCACCACGCTCCTCTCTGGCCGTGTGCGCACAGACGTCTAGGGCCCACCGGCTCTCAGAGCGTCACGGACACCGACGCACGTCCCGTTAAGTCAGCCTGACCGTGTTTTCACCGTTTGGGGGAAGCTGACGGAGCTGCCTCCTGCCCAGCTCAGAAAGTTGGCGCACATGGTGGTGCAACATGATAGAAATGCTGGCTTAATTTCAAAACCCAGTTCATCTGCTGAATTACAAAACATCTAACTAAAGCGATACAGCTAAGGACAATAAAAGAGCAAGGCTAAGCCACCCATGACCTATGGCATTAATTTTTTTATTTTAGTAAATTAACTTAAATCTTCAAAGCATGCCTAGACCAAAAGAGACTGCTACCTAGTAAAATGTATTAAATAAGAAAGAAAAGCTAGTTAAAGAGCAGGCAGTAAGCAGGTATCCAAGACTCACTTAATGAAGCCAAAAAGCAAACAAAAGGAAGTTAGACGCAGCTGCCCCGTAGCTGCGCCGCACGGCTGCCAGGTCAGTAAACACGGGCAGGGCGTCCAGGGAAGCGGGCCCTCCCCCGGGCGCCAGCCGCCCGGCCTCCCACTCCCGAGTGAAGTCAAGGCTCCGAGATGCTGAAGGCAGCTGGCTGTCGGGGCCCCACCGAACAGGCCTGCAGCCCCCCAAGCTGGTCTCCATCAGTGCTCAAGTGGCGGCCAAACAGTTCAGTACCAACTAAATTACGGCAAGAAGACAACTCGTTTTCCACTGCAAACAGAAACTGCTTTGCCAGCGAAGGAAACAGGAAAAACCACACACGATTTTACTTCGGTTTAACAACACGGTGACTGGACACTCGGTATTGGGGAGCGTTCGTGATCTTGGACCACTTTCCTCCACACGAGCTACAGCAGCAGCAGAGTCACACACCTGGGTGTTGGTGGATGCGGTTAAAAACCAACCGACACGCTATGAGAAGTCCTAATGTCAGGCCTGAGCTGATGTCCAGCTGGAAAAAGAACCAGGGGTCCCCCGACTTAGATGGCGTGGCCCCGCTGTGGCGCCCTGGGAACCTGGGTTGGGTAGGGGTGTTCGGTCTTCTCAAAGAGCTCCCAGTTACTCTGGGCTGAGGAAGGGGAGGCTGATCCCACCCCCAGGGATTCAAAGTCCCTGAAGCTCCAGGATCACCTCCGACTGACTCTGGCCCCCCTGACATTGCCTCTCGGGCTCCTGTGGGACAACAGAAACGAACCACCCGACGACTCTCCTTTTCCTGCCCTCAGGTTAGGATGCTTCGCAGTCACCCACCCGTTCAGCCTGCTCAGCGCTCCTCTAGAACAGGGCACTCTTGTCACGCACAAAGCCTTGGGGGCCTGCAGCTGCTCAGAGAGAGTGCCATAGAAAACGGAGAGCTGCCACCGAGGGGTGGTCCCACCCTGTGCACCCGGTCACTGCATCTCTCGTCTGGGCCAGACTCGCACCTCGGCAAACAGGAGGGCGGGTGTACGAGGCTGCAGCTGTCTTGGCTGCGGCACAGTGACAATGGCCTGTCGTTCACTTTCATTGTAAAGGTAATGCCTGCTCACGAGACGTGTCTCCAGTGGACAGAGGGTGTCCCTGACACCCACGAAGCAGCCAGCGTTAAGGGTCCTTAGGTCACGTTCCCATCTCCATGACTCGGCATCGAGTTGGGCCACACCACCAGGTGGGAGACTCTGGAGACAGGGACTGCCGTGCCTTCCCCATCTTTGTGTCTCTGGGACTCCAGCACATAGTAGGGACTCATTCACCATAGTAGGGTGAATGTGGATAAATAACAACCTCGTCTGCTGTGATTCTGAGGTGCGTCTGGGTGCTTGGCTCTGCGAGAAGCGGCACCCTGACGGCACGCATCATCCCCCTGAATGTGGGGACAATGGCGTCCTTCATGTCGTAGATGAAGGATCCGGTGCAGCGAGGTCCCACAACTTGTCTGCACCCACCAAGTGAGCAGCTGGTGAAGGCCACGGTCAACTGGAGTCTCTTGGCTCCACACCGCACGCCCTTAGCTACTGTGCGGCAGAACTGACCGCTCTCGTGCGCTGTGTCATAGCAGATAAACAGCGATCGAGACAGCAGCGAGGGGGAACCGGTGTGAGTGACCAAGGGCACACTGCGCGCACCGAGGACACAGGAGCGGTGCTGGCAGCAGAGTCTGGCCGTGCGGCCGACCAACCACACCTCCAGCAGGCGGAGGCCGAGAGCTGTGCCTCTGTCTCGTCCGGGGATCCTCCGAGGGGCGGAAAGGCCAGTTTGACAGAGAAGCGGCCGAGGTTCGGCAGGGTCCCGGGCCACGTGCCGCCCAGCGCACACACGCCTCGCCGCTCTGGCCGGGTCACTGCCGTCACTATACCCAGCCAGCACAGGCAGCCTCTCCAGAGCCCACGCAGCGGGAAATGGTCGCAAAGGCTGCCTTTCAGAAGGAGAGGCTCCAGGTAAAAACACGTAGTTGAGAAGAGGCACAAGTGACAATCTGAAGTGCAATGTGTCAAGAGTCCCACCCGTGGAGGTCTGTCCCATGTCTGGCGTGAGCACGATGGGCCTGCAGGGCTGGTTGCAGAGTGACAGGAATGTCTGCTCAGCGCCAACAGCACAAGGGTCAGGCGCACCATCGCAGATACGGCGTCTCGTCTGTCCCACGTCTCGTTCACGGTGAAAACACCCTGCGGTGGAGCTCGGACTCACGGCACTGCGGAGATCGACCACGCGGACCCCAGACACCTGCCCAGAGCCTCTGCTGCGGGCGGCCACCTACGCAGCTGTGTGGCAAGGCCCAGAAAGTACGCGGGTTAGGACGCGAAGCATCGCGACCTGTTTCTAAAGAACAGAGCAGGCTCTAAGACTAAATCAAGGCAGGCAAAACGAAACAGAAAAGGCGCTGTGCAGTTTCCGGTTCAGGGTGAACCAGGTCCATTCCCCTCCTTCCAGAAGAGTGTTCCCATCTCAGAATTCTAGGGGCCAGTGGTCCTCTCCACATGGCCGGACAACGGGACAGTGACAGTGCCGGGACACCTGAGGAAGCTGTGGCCGCAGCTGCGCGGAGCTTGCCTCGGGCTCTGCCCCGCCACCACTGGCTGTTTGCGCCCACAGGAACAGGTGGGCAGGAGCCATCGGACCTGATGCCAGGCAGCCGCGATGTGAAGCCCCTGCAGGCGTGTGCTGACGTGACCAGAGACACAAAGGACACGGTCTCAACTCCTCACCCAAGTGAAAGGACCGTCCCTGGGAGGCACCAGGAGAAGTAGCCCTTGTGCTAAAGGTTCTAAGACTATTTCACAGAAAGAAAATGAAATTTGAAGGTCACCAAGAAATTTGGAAAATCCAGATTCACCCAATTCCAGCTCTACTCAGAGGTAACTTGCAGTACATGTGTTACCAGGTAAAAGACAGACCTTTTTGGTCTAATTTGAGAGCTAGCTTCCTGCTACCCAGTAAGATTTGTTCTGCCTTCTCAGTGGCTCTGCCAAACATCACTTGAAACCCCCTTGGAGTCCCTGGCGCACCGGGCACTTCCTCGCCTGGCACATCACTGACGACGGCAGGCATCTCAGTCGGAGCTTCGCCACGACTTTGGTTGGATGGTTGTAAAAGATCAGATTAACCCACAGTCTGCACACAGGCCCCAAGGAGCTGGCTGACATCCGCTCGCTTGGGGTTTATTTAGTTTGCTCTCCTTTTTTCTACCGTATTAAGGTAGAAGGTTAGGTTATTGACCTGAAACCTTTTTTGATGTGGGTGTTTACAGCTATAAATTTCCCTCTAAGTACTGCTTCAGCTTGCATCCTATAAATTCTGATGTGTTTTGTCTTCATTTTCAATCATCTCAGAGTACGTCCTTTTTTTTCCTTGTAATTTCTTCTTTGCCCCATTAGCTACTTAAGAATATGTTGTTTAATTTCCACATATGTGTCAATTCCCCAAATTTCTTTCTCTTATTGATGTTTAACTTCACTCTGGTCAAAGAAATACTTGGTATGAATTCAAACCTTGTAAATTTATTGAGACTTGTTCAATATATGGTCGATCTTGGTAAATGTTTCCATGCATCTGAAATAAATGTCCATCTAGCTAGGGTTGGAGAGAAGACATTTATAAATGCCAATTAGATGAAGCAGGTTGATAGTGTTTTTCATATTTTCTATATCCGTTATTTTCTATTTGTTCTATCAGTTATTAATGGAGGGATCATGATCTCCAATTATAATTGTGGATTTGTCTACTTCTTTGTTCAGTTTTAGCGGTTATTTGGAAGCTATTTCATTGGGTGCACACAAATCTACGATTATTATATCTTCTTGATGAAGCGATCCCTAAAGATCATATGTAATGTGCCTCTCTCTGTCGGCCGTACTGCTCATTCTGAAGTTGACCTTGACATTAAAATGGCCACTCCACTTTCCTTACATTTGGTGCCTTTATGGAACATCTTTATACTTAAAGCAAGTTTGTTATAGACAGCATGCATTGTAGTTAGGGTTCATTTTTTAAATCAGTCTGACATTTCTATCTTTTAATCCCAGTATTTGGACCATTTTATTTAAGGTATTATCAATGTTATTTGGTTTAAGTCTACTACTGTCTTGCTGTTTGTTTTCTATCTGTCCCATCTGTCCCTGGTTTCCCTTTTCCTGTCTTCTAGATCCCGTGGGCATTTTTAAAGATTTTATCACCACTGTTGGCTAATAGCTGTCCCTCTTCATTTTTTAGTGACCACTCAAATAGGAGTCGGGGAACCATGGCCCACTGGTGAAATCTGGCCCACTCTCTGTTGTGGGACCACCGCCATTTGTTTGCACATCGCCTATGGCAACTGGATGCCACCGCGGCTGTCACAGAGACCACACGTCCCACGAGCCTTGAAATATTTACCATCTGAACCTGTACAGAAAAGGTTTGCCGACCACTGCTCGGTGGTTTAAATGTAAAAGTTAAGTTGCAGTAACAAAAATCAGTTCCTCAGATAATTACTCACATTGTTCTCTTGGTTCCTGTTGTTCTTTAAGAGTGTGATAACACAGTTATGAATAAAGAAAGCAAGGGTAAGCACTCCGGTCAACTGTGGAAACTGAAATCTTATCTCTAGGAGAAAAAGAGAAGGGAAAGCACATTAAAACTGACAGCTGGAAAAGGGATACACGCTGCCACAGGCCGATCACTAAAAGCCAGTCGTCTCTGTTTGTCCAGGGACGAAGAGCATCACAACATCTCCCAGAGCCCAGCAAGGCTAGCGCTCTACTCGAGTGCGGAGCTGGGAAGGGGCCGAGGAGGAACCGGGAAACCACCACTGCACAGGGTCCACATCGGTCACTCCTGTCTGCATCCGACTCCGGCATGTGGCGGGCAGGGTGCAGATCACAGCGGTGAGTCTGCCAAACAGAGTCCGTTCCTGCGCCATTCATTGTGAACGACCACACCATTTCCCATTCAAACGACGGGAACCGGCTTCTGCCCCGCCCTCTATCTTCTGTCTGCTGCCCCCGAGCCGGCAGGCGGTGGGCAGGGTTCGGACCCGGGGCCTGTGTAGCTCTATAGATCCTCCTCTTCTAACGCTTTAATCTGCCGGAAAAGCACTGTTAGGTAGGAACCATGGAAGGAAGAATCGGTCATTTGACATTTTTAGTGGCTAATCTAAAAAGCATCGCGTGAAGATGCTGGAAGTACAGCTCTGCAGGGAGGGAAGCAGCCGGTACCACGAGCTGCTGGGGGCAGGCGGACCGTGAGGGCTCTCGTTGCGGGGCGGAAACTGCAAGTGCACCAGGGAGAGGCGGGGGTGTTCGCCTCGGGCTGACGGGGCTCATCCCCCATCACCCACTCACCTACAGTCTCTAAATGTAGCAAAGTCTCTAAACGCACTGCAATAAGTGCAGAGCTGCTTTAACGCAAGAACAGTGAAGACGACGGCACTGGAAATCTGCATTCCACTCTCAGAATTACAGTAGAGGCGCTGACTTCGGAAAAACAGGGAAAGTATTATTTACACGTGATGTTATTTGCAGACATTCCTTTTAGGGAAACAATTGAAAAGCTTTTTAGTGAGAACTCAAAGTCTTCAAATCACAAGGAAAAAGAAAGGAACTACAGCACACGACAACCAGAAATCAACGAACAAGTCCTTATCCACCAACGATCAGCGCAAACGCACAGACCAAACTCTCCAAACGACAGGCGCAGTGGCAGAGCAGGTAAAAACAAAACAGCAGCAACAGCAAAGAACAAGAAACCCCGAACAAGGCCCAGCTGGCTGCGGCTCACCAGGGCCTCCGTCGGCTTTGAGAGCCCCCCAGGCCACGGGTGGAGGCTGACGCCCACAGGGTGCAGGGATGGGGGACTCAGGCTCCGCGAGGCAGGGGTCTTCGAGAAGCCCCCGCCTTGCGCCAGTTTCCAGCTGCTGCTTGGACCCTTCGAGGAGGCACAGTGAGGAAGGACGGAAGCACGGGGTGGGGGAGCGGGGAGACAGCTGTCACACTTTAGTCCGACAGAGAACGTGTGTGTAGAACGTACAAAGAATGCTTGGAAATCTATTTAAAAAGTAGAAAACTGGGCGAAAGACTTGAAGAGGCACTGGACAGAGGCGGTCATCCAAACTGACCCCCAGCAGCGAGGCTGGAGGACAGAGACAGAGCAGGCCGGTGTGGCGAAGACGGGCCCGCAGGACGCGCGGACGCTGCCGCAGGGCGGGCTGGCTCCGCCGATCTCCTGCAGGAGGGACACGCACACCCTCGGCCCAGCAAAGCCGCTCCTGGGAGACACGGACGAGGAGGACGGCAGAGCTGTGACGCTGCCAGTGGAGTGGACGCACTGCAGACGCACACCATGGGGCCAGTGTCCCCAAGGAACGTGGCCGAAGGAAGCCAGACACGGAAAACTACGCACGGTGCGTTCTACTTGTGTTAGTTACAAAAAACGGGCAAACGGCCCTTTGGGGTCAGAGGTTAGAACAGTGGGCATCTCTGCAGGGAGAGAACAGTGGCAGGACGACGAGACAGCCCTCTGGGCGCTAGCGGTTTCTGTTTGTACTTTTAATCCTCACCGGAGGACGTGCTTGTTGATTTGAGAGAGGGTGGCGGGCGGGACGGAGGGAGGCTGAAAGAGAGAGAACCATGAGTCGGTTGCCTCCTCTTGGCACCCCGACCGGGGGTTGAACCGGCAACCTTTGGTGTAGGGCTGACCCTCTGGCCAGGGCTCACTTTCTTCTCTCGTGCTGAGCAGGGAAGGGGAGAGGGTGAGGCTTGTCCTGACCCAACGTTCAGGGGGTGCTCCCATCCTGAGCCCTTCCCCTTCCGTCACTCACACGCTCACATGCGGAGGCTCCAGGGACCGCGGGCTCGGACGGGCCTCCTGTGGCGGCGGCCGGTTCCCGAGGGCGCCCACACGCGTCGTGGCCTGGCCCCCGCCGCCCACAGTTCTCTGCCTTCTAGAATCCACTCCTTCTCTCGTCTGCTGTCGCCTCTTTGTGTTTATTTATTCCTTTACTGATGTTTTAATGAATCCAGAAGAAAGTGGAGAGAAAGACACTTATTCACTCAGCGAGCAGGCGCTAAGCACTCACTATACACCACAGGCCTCGGGGAAACGACAGGATTGGAGAAGAATAAACATCGACGACGGAGCAGCCTGGTCTCAGAGGGCGGGCACTGCAGTGGCCGACACAGACACGCAGGGAGGCGTCAGTGCCTTGCCCTTCACTGCTTCCCTCCTGAACACTCGCCGCCTGAATTCAAGAACCAAACAGATTTGGGACGTTTCTGGGTAAATCCCTTCTTATGGAGACGGGGCACCAGACCAGGAGAATGGATGGGGCGTGTCCCACACAGGGAGGAGGACGTGCGGAGACAGAGGTGCTGGGCCCCCTGCAGCGCAGCGAGGAAGACGGTGTGGCCGGAGGGGACGACAGAAGAGCAGGACGGTGGCGGCAGATGGCGTCAGCGAGGAAGCCAGGGGTTGGGCCACCAAGCGCCTGCAGACTGTGACTTGTCTTTGCTGTGTGAGACCAGGGAAACCGCTTCCGAAAGTGGAGGTTTGAGGACGCGGCTCGGGCTGCTGGGTGTAGACCAGACCATGGGGGGCGGTTGAGGGCTGTGATGGTCCTGGGCAGCGGTCGGTGTCCTCGCCTGGCTCTTTTCAGTAGGAGTAATCAGGGCAGGCAAGCGGCACTCCGTGTGTGGCCTGATCACACGGGAAACGGGCCCCCACTTTCTGAGATGGTTGAGCAGGTGGGACGGGGTGGATGAGGAAGAAAACAGGCGTTTGTTGTTTGAGAACCCGAAGTTTGGGACACGAGTGGACACGCCCGTGGGGATGTACAGGGCGGGCGGATGAGTGAGTGTGGGCGTCGGCAGAGAGCCCCGGGCCAGAGACTCGGGGTTGAGACTGGTCAGCACAGGGACAAGGCCTGAGGCCAGGTGACGAGATGTGACAGGACTTGGGGTGAAGGGAGAGAAGGAGGTGTGAGCACCCAGCCCCGGTGACTTCGTTATGTGTAGGGGTCAGAACTACGAGAAGGTGCAGTGACGCACAAGGGTCAAGGGGGTGGGGCCGAGCGTGTGCGAAGGCAGCGTGTGGCCAGGGCAGGGGTGTCCCTGGGTGCCCGTGAGGCCACGGCCGGGCAGGAGGGGCCTGAGGAGCAGCCATTAGCACAGAGACCAGGCAGCAGCCCCACGGAGCGAGTCCGAGGCAGAGGCTGGGGGCCGGGGGTGAGCAGACACCCCTCGAAGGTGATTCCTCTGCAGGGAACAGGCAGCTTGCGGGGACGTGGCGTCGCGGGAGCTCAGGTTGGGCGGACTGGGAGGCAGGAGGAGCTGAGCAAAGAAACCGCGACACCCGCATGTGGTTTAGAGGAGGGAGGACGGCGGGCCGGAGCCCCGGCAGGAACGGACACGTGCCCTGCGTGCTCCCCAGCTCCCTGCCAGGCCACGGGCCCACGGCGCCGGGAGAGAGGTTTTTAGGAACGAGAGCAACAACGAAGCCGCCGTCAGCACAGCAGGTGACGTGAACCCCTCGTCAGGGCGGTGAAGACGGGCGCCCCCAGAGCTCCCCGGGTCTCGCCAGCCTCCGCTCCGGGGAGGTTCCGATGACGCTACGGCGGTTCGCCTCACGAGCGAACTGACACGCCCAGCCCTTGAGGTCCGGCCCTCCCTGTCACTCAGAAGTGGATTGCAACGAGTGGCTTGGTGACCAGTGAGACAGTCTCTCTCGTCGTCCGAGTAACTGTCTGCACTCCCCTTGCCCTCACGTTTATCTCCCGTGTCCCACCATCACAAGAACTTTTATCACTAAAAAATAAAACAAACCAGCGGGGACCGAAGTTCAGAAGCGAACGCCCGAGGCCGTTTTTTCCAACTGGTGGAAGAACCGGCAACCGGCGTGCCACACACTCCGGGGGCGAGGACGGAGCCCCAGCGCCTCCTCTGTCCTGAATTTGCACGGACTTTTTCGCCTTTGTGGGCTTCTAATAGAAAGAATACAAAAAAACCCCAACAAAAACAAAGCTGGTGCAGCTGTGCGTTGTGAACACAAGTAACCATGGTAACCAGCATGAACAACACCTGCCAACGAGCACCGCTCGGCCCACCAGGAACCTGCAGGGACGGTGACGCCGGAGGAGGAGCAGGGGGCAGCAGACAGCGGGACTGCTGCCGTCGGAGGGTGACCCCGTACCGGACAGAGACGGAGACCCCAGACGGCCTGCACCCACAGGCGAAGACCGCAGGCAAAGCCGTCTCCTGAACCAGCGACAGAGCTCCGTGCTACCGCCCCTACTCATGTCCGCAGCCCCGGGGCGACAGTCACGTCCTCTTGCTAACCTGTCCACTCGTTCAGCACTGTCCACTCATTCTCTCATGGGCTTCTGGTGTGTCCAGATCCTCTAAACTTGGGTGGAACCTGAGGAACTGCCAAGTTACAACCACGAGAAAATAAGGCGGGAGGGAACACGCAATAACCGCTGTTAGCCTGGAAAACAGCAGTTAAAGGAAAACCCTGAGGGGAGCAATGGCGTTAGGGGCACTCCTGTCCGCCTGCACCGACCGCCGACTGGGCTCAGTCTCTGAAATCCTCGGGAGTGTCTGCTCGGAAAGTCTACCGGGGGCGTCCAGCCTTTGGGCGTCTCTGGGCCACACTGGAAGGAGAAGAGTTGTCTTGGGCCACATGTTACATCCGTGGTGACAGGTCATCACAAAAAAATCTCATCATGTTTTAAGTAGACTTGCAATTCTATGTTGGGTGGCACTCACAGCCACCCTGGGCCGCGGGTTGGACACCCAGGTGTAGACGATGCCTTCTTGACATCTCAGGTGCACTGTGACTTGAATGAACTTCTGCCCCCAGGCAGAATGACAAAGGGCCTTCGACCCCCAATGGCAAGGTGACCAGAGCAATTTCAGCTGGACTCGGGTTTCCGCTAAACAGCACTAATAAAAATGCCCATCACTGGATTTAGAATCCCACAGTCAAAAACAGCTAACTTAAAGGTCACATTGTTGCAATTTCTTAGTTCTCTATTTGGCTAAAGCAGCTCACCTGGTACAAAAAATTCTGTTGGCTCGAACCAGTGAAATTCCAAGTGAAGCCCCAGGCGAGCAGCCTTCAGGGTGACGAGGAAAACCAGGTAGAGGACGGACACCGTGCCTGCGAGAGAAAGGCAGAAACCAGCCGTCACCTTCACACCGGGACAGGCCATTTAAAAATCTACCTCTGTTCCTGTGCTCGGGCCAGCCTGGAACGCCGGCCCTGTCACTGGTGATGCCCATGGCGACCCAGGCGGGACCTGAGGGCAGAAAGCAGCTCCGTGCATTACTGGAAAACAGCAGGAACCACGGAGTGGGCCCGGCAGGCCCGGGGGAAGCCGAGCTGCCCCAGTGATGCCCGGGCGCGCTCAGCGGAGGGTGCGTGCCGAGGCCCTCACGGCAGCGCCGGGTCACGCTGCAGAAAACTGACTACGTGGAGCTGACCCACTCTCGGCACGGGAAGCCTCAGAGACAGTCAGCAGGTTGGAACAGCCCGTCACGACACTTGGAGAGCGACAGGCGGGAAGTCCAGTCGCGGATGCGGGGCGCCAGCCCATCTGAGAAGGTGGTGAGCCCAACAGCCTGGAGCCGTCTGCTCCGGCGCAGGGTGACTTCTGGCCGCCGGGGCCACCTGCTGGGCGGGCGGACCCCAGCCCCCCTTGCAGGCATTGCACGCAGGGCAGAGGGAGCCTGCCGAGCTTCCCGGTGGTCTACAAGGCCGAGGGTCTCCTGCTAAGGGACTGGGCCCAGGCAGCATGGAGTTGAGTCGGGGAGGTCTCCGAAGGGACCAGATGCTCATTCTCCTGAAGAAGCTGCCGACTGAAAGGAAGCCCGGGCACCGCTCTGCCCGCTGAGCACCTGCTTCTGTACGTGGGTGGGTGGACTCTGCACGGTCTGCTCCCCAGGAAGGGCGGCAGGCAAGCCCAGTCAGAAACCACGGACACGCCGCGTGGGCTCCACTGTCGGCCTGGCCGCCGGCCGACGCAGAAAGGGCGCACGCAAGCGGCCACCAAGGGCATGCCCACCGCTCTTGGCTCTGTGTGTCTGTCCGGCTGTGAGGCCCAGGCGTGCGGGGAGGAAGCCCGGCCTCGTCCTTCGCTGTTCTGGAAACCCCAAACCACCTCCTCGCGGCCCCCCGTGACCCGTTTCATACTCTCGGCTGCCTGCCGGGGGGCCAGCTCTCCAGGGGAGGGTGAAACCCACACCCTGCTGGGCTTATCCACTCTTCATGGCTGACACCCTTGTGTTCAGTGAGCCAGATCTGAGCTCTCAGGGGAATTCCTTCGTCATCTTAAGGCTGTAAGGGAAGACGTGGTCAACACATCATGGCGGCGGTTTCAGCAGTCTCTGGAACACGGGCTCCCAGAAAGACGTCGCCGCTCCCCGGAGGCAGGCGTTGAGAGGGAGGCAGCACCAGGATGAGCAGGGGCGGCTCTGACCTCAGAGTCGGGGCGCGGGACAGCATCCAGGCGGCAAGGCCGGCGACCGCGCCAGGCCAAGCTCTTGAACAGAAACTGCGGGGAAAGGTGCTCCCTTGCCTCCCTGAGCAGGTCCTCCCGCTTCCAGCCTCGGGAGCTGAGAAGTCCTCTACCGGGCACCTGGACCCTCCTCCTGAATCTCGCTCACGCCTCCAGGAGCCCCGCAGCTCGGAGAAGACGAGGGAGGCGTGCTCAGTGGCAGCACCGCGGCAGCCCCATAACTTGCCCTCTGAGGACTCGGCGTTGAAACTCTCACTGGCATTTTTCTCTGGGCCAGACTCCACCGAGAAAACCCCGACGCAGGGTAAGGAGAGCAGGAACAGGTTAAACAGGGAGGCCCGGGACATGGCTCCCCCTGCTGCCGGCCGTATCGCCGACCTGTGGCCACAGCGTGGCATGCGGCACGTGGCCGTGGCTCACCTAGGATGTTGAACTTGGAGAAGAAGGAGGGCGACCGGAAGTTGAGCAGCGGCAGGAGCAGCCCCACGAGGTAGAAGGGCACCGTCCTGGACTTGTCCCACCACTTTTCAAACGGCTGCAGTCCCGTGCCGTTGGCGTGGATGACCCCCGAGCCGTTGTGCGGACGGCCGCTCCCTGGGCCTGGGCAGATCACTGCAACGGGAGACCAACCAGTCAGAGCAGAGAGCAGGGGACAGGGGACGAGAGCGGCTCTTAGAAATCTCTTACCAATAAACAATTAGAGGGGGAGGAATGTTAGAACATTTTGAGGCATATCCTTAATTTCTATAGAAATTATCATATTATCCCAGCACAAAATCCTCTGGTTCCCCTGCCAGAGAGAAAACCGTGGGCCCGATGTCCACAGTGAGGTGAGAATATCCTCTAGGCTCCCTGTTCGTCGTGATGAGAACACACGCCAGGGCCAAAGAACAGGCTTCTTAAAACAATAAACCAGACGTCTGGCTTTGGAGGAAAGAGCGGATGTGGTGGAGGCAGCCGTCTCGACATCGCCGAGAGCGAGTTACTGAGCAGAGCTTCCTCCCGTGGCCGGAGCAACGCTCCTGGAGCCAGGCACCCTCCGCTGCGGCCCAGGGGCCCAGGGGCCCAGACGCCAGCCAGGGAGCCGGGCAGCACGTTCATCTTCCTACCCCTGACCGTGAGAGGCAATCTCTTCTCCCAGCAGCTACAGCGCAAACCATTCTCCTGGTTTCCGATTTTGCGGGAGTGTTGCTGATCCGCAGCTCTCCGTGAAGAACCCGCAGTGCGGGCGAGAACTGCTCACGCTGAGCGACAGCCCCGAGCCTCACCAGTCACAGGGACCGTGACGGACTGACTCGCCGCGAGCTCTGGCTTTAACTCCATTCTGTCTCCGTTACTGGCACACGCCACAAAGCCACACACCCCGCTTTCTGTCTCCTCCTCTCTTGGTCACCATGTCAACACGTACCTTTTCCTTCTGCACCCGGCATAGGAGAAAACTAACTCGAGTCTTTCTTGTGCAACAATTCCAGTGCGAAAAGCACCGGCTGGGGCAGTAAACTGACTGTGAGAGATGAACCTGGGGCCCGGCTCTCGGTTACGCAACCTCGCCCGCCCCTGCTGCACTTTCTCTCGGTTTCCCTGTCCTGGAGGTGCGGGCACCAGTGCCTCCCTGCGGAGAGGCTGCTGTACGACACTCGGAACATTGCCGGCCCGCGCCAGCGCCCCGCAAACGCCAGCTGTGGCCCTCCGCAGGAGGGAAGGAGGACTGTGCCCTGCTCCCACCACGCCACACCCTGCTCGAAATCAGCAGAAAAAGAACCGAAAGGTGCTGGTGTCGGCATGTGCCATGGCCAAGAGGAGGGAGCGGGCTGTGCTGGTGCTGGGCTCCCCGTCGGGGTGTGACCGGGGTGCTCACGCCCTCAGCTGAGGGTCCCAGGGTTAGATACGGACCCACTGCTTCCACCGACGGTGCCAGGACAGCTGCAGAGATGGAGCTTCTCTTGCAACACAAGGCTGTCACTTGGTCCTGAGAAAATTCTGACACCAGGAATGCAGTGCAAGAGATGTATTTTAAAATCACGCTGACGTGTTTAGGCATCGATCAAAGATGAACGTGTGCGTGCCTGCAGAAATAACAGCCAGCACATCACTCACTAGTTCCCCAGGGCGAACAGGTAACTAGGGGCAGAGCGAGACCCTGCGTGGCCGACACTGGAACGCACACCCCGAGGGGAGAGGCTTCCACCGTCCCCTGTGTCCCAGAGCCTGGAGCAGGCCCGACACACGGCAGGCTTAATGGCTGTGTCGTGGGTGAGCTGTTGTTTCAGCCATCAGCGTGCTTCCCCATCAACGTGACACCACATCGGATTCTCTGAAACCCCCTCCCCCTGCCACACACACCAAGCTTCAGGCGACGGGCAAGGCTCACCGCAGCACTGTCTGGGGTGACTGAACGCAGTCACGGTGACTCCCACGCCCCTTCTCCCTGTGCCTGCCTCACCGGACAGACCCATGCACCACTGATGTTCATGTTCAATGGTTAAAGGAACATCCCTAAAAAATTAAGATTTGTTTTGCCAAATCTTCAATTTGTCCATATTTATTAACGTCTGTTCATTATTAGGAAGTTAATTATTCTAAGGATACAGATTTCTGTGCCTTACATATTGGTAACTAAAACAATAAACGTCTGAAACAGCTAAGAAACCGAGAGCTCTGCTGCCAGGCCAGAGGGACCTGCGGTGACAGCTGAAAACGCGCACTGAGTGGCCAGAGGTAAGCAAGACCTGAGCTACGACCGCGACCGCGTCACACGAACTGAACATTGTCTCGCTCACGGCTCACATTCCTACAGCCCTTGGCGAAGTTGGTCTTTTTCTTTCTTTTAAACACTCTGATTGTCAACCATTTAATAGTGGCTCGGTTAACGCAGCGATAACAATTTCGTGCTAACTGCTGACCTAAAACGAAGGCAGAGGTTCTACCTTAAACCCTTTTGAAGCGAGGTGGGGAATGAAAACAGGCTGAACTTGGATCCCAAACTACTCACCAGGGTTGCTGTCATTGGTGCTCGGCACGGCATCTGTGTCATTGATGTGGTGGATAGAGTCTAAAAAGCAAGGGAAAATACAGTTTAGCACTCACCGGGAGGTGCTGAGCTGGCCACTGCTGGAGTGTTTCATCTGCGACCACAGACTCGGGTCCAGCGTATGGCACGGACCTCGCGTGCCTGAGCCCAGACCCCGCCTGTTAGCGCAGCTCCAGCTTCGCACCCCGCTCTGGGCACTCGTACCTGGAGAGGATTTTTAACAACCTACCCAGAGACGGCATGTAGTTCAAAGCACCAGAATAAAGACAGTGTGCATCGGCTCCCATTGATTTACGTAAGTGCAGTTACACCTTAGACCAAGTTCTAAAGTCTGTAAAGCAGGGAAACCAACACTTATAGTGGCCGAGTTTGTCTGGAAAGTCATTAAAGTTTGTACAAAGCATAGTAACGCTTTTACAGACCGAGGGCTGCGCAGTGGTTACTGCGCACACTCAGCTGCGCTGCAGGAAGCAGAGAGAGGGGCCCGTGTGCTGCCTGGACATTGATCGTCCGACGGCCAGTGAGGGTGGGGGGGTGTCTCCTGCGGGCCCGAGAGAACGCAGTTCCCTCTGTTCGACGTTAACCTTTATAACCTCAGTAACAATAGAAGTGTTCGATGAAAACTCCAATGAGATGTGAAGACGATGGATCAGACTGTACGGCCAAGCTCGGCCCGCATGTGAACTCTCCATCCCCAGGGTCAGGGTGGGAGAGGAGAAGTTCAGGCCCGGTTTTCACAGTGTCTCCAAGGGCGACTAGGGGTTTCAGATCTGAACTGCAGGGTCGCTCCGCAATGCCTGATGCCAAGACTCACCGCAGGCGAGCAAACAGTAACACCTGGGTGTCAAGTGTCCAAGTCTCCCCTAGCCCACGTGCACGAGGAACCTAGACTGTGACCTGGTTTGGAATGGAGTCTCTGCAGGGGCGGTCCAGGTAGGGCGAGGTCGGACTGGGGGAGGGTGGGCCCTGAGTTCAATGCCTGGCGTCCTAAGAGAGAACAGGGGAGTTTGGACCTAGACGTGTGGAGGGACGACAGCCCTGTGAAGACAGAGGCAGAAATTGGGGTGACAGAGCCACTGGCCGGGGACGGCCCTGCCAGCCTGGCCCACCAGGAGCCGGAAGAGGTGGGCGGGGCTCTGCCTGCGGGCCTGAGGGGGAGCAGAGCCCCGCGGGCACTTTGACTGCACTTCGGGGTCTCGGGGACCGCGAGGGGGCGCGTTTCCCTTGTTATAAGCCGAACAGACGCCCTGGCGCCTCAAGGCCCAGCCAGGGTGGCTCGAGGAGGGAACCCAGGCCGGCACCTCACCAGAGCAGGCGGACGGTCTGAATGGAGGGTCGGCCCCACGCCTGCCACGAGAAGTTGGATCCGGTAAGAAACTTGGAAATGTACGTCGTGACTAGCAAGTTGAAGCTTTCCCAGCATGTAAGAATGGTTGAGTAACATTGCAAAAGTTATTCAATTTGCTGTATTGACAATCTGAAGGAGAAAACCTTAGATCGTTTTAAGAGATGTGGGTCACCTGTTTGATAGAATCCAGCACACGTTATAAAAACGCTTAAGAAATGGATAGGCAGGGGCGCCTTTAAATGACCAAAGGGGCGCCCACACCTACGACGAACCCCGGGAAGGACACATGCCCCACAAGCGCCCCACCGCCCTGCTGCCCCTAGTTCAGGCCCCAGCCCCGTTTTCAGGGGGCTGCAGTCTAAAATTTTGTGGTAACGATCAAAACAACGCTTACAACATCTGCTGGAACTTAGGAACACTTTATATGAACTAGAGAAGTTGAAGGAATGTTATTTAATCCCAAATTAGTTTTTGGAAATAAGCACACATTAAATCCGAGATCGCAAGCACAGAAAACAAACTGAATCAGGTACGACTTTCAGAATCACAAATGGCACTTTCAACTGTGCTTCTCCCCAGTCCAGACTCGGAGGCCGAAACAGACATCGCTGGAGGCTGTGCCCGGAAGCACCTGTGTGAAAACGCAGCTGCGATACTCACTAAAAATAAACTCCCCGGTGTTGAAGAGGAAGTTCGACATGAGCACCCAGTACACGACCATCGCTCCGATGAGAGACACCAGGGAGAAGAGCAGGCTGGACCACTGCCCGAAGGAGCCGAAGTAGTGCTGGCAGACGTCGGGGTACTCCCAGGCCGAGGTGTCCGCCGACGCTGGGGGGCAGGAGGGAAGAACCAAGTTCGATGTCAGTCACATACCCCACCGCCACAGTCTGTGTCCCCAATTAACCCGAACTCAGTCACAGACCACGGGTGGTCCACCAACAGACATTAGACCACATTATGAAACAACAGAAATGAAAACCTCATAGAGCAAACACAGGGAAAGAAATGCAGGTCAACGGAATAGCACAGATCACCCGAGAAATGGATTGAAGTGTAATACAGTGGGGTAACTAGTGAGAACAAGCAGCAAACCAGGGCGGGGACAAATCACTGGCAGAAGCTGTCCCCCGAGCGCACCTGGGACTATTAACTAGTGACATGGGGGGAGTCTTCCTGAGTGACACTGTCCACCACACATGCCAGTTTAGGTTTCACACAACTGAGTTTAAAAAGCAAGTAACAGGAGAGTCAGAAGCCTGTAAAGACAGACCCTGAGTGTTTGTCCTTCTGTTGACTGAATCGCAAGGGCAAAGGTGAGCAGATACATAGACAAGCTCGTGGGAGACAGAAGCCGTTCACACACCGAATAGGGAAAACCAACCAGAGCCAACCAAGGGCTCACCCCGCGTCTCCTGACCAGCTCAGCAGCCCTGCAGGAGCACCAGGGGCTGGCCGGCGGGTGACGAGGAAGGGACGTGGACAGATTTAGAAGGAAGTGCACCCCAGCTTCGGAGGGACAGAGGACCCTGGACAGAGCCCCGTCCGTGGACTCACACTGGCTACGAACCAACTCACCGGTGCACGTGCACTCAGGCCCTAGGTCACTTTAAACCTGAGAGGGTGTCCCTGCTCCAGAAGGTACAGAGACACACGGAGGGGAGTGTGTGGGCATAACACTGAGAACTCGCTGCAGGGGGCCATCGCTCCCATTGTCCTGTTTTTCTAGGTATATTTTCTATTTTTAGGAGATTCCAACATTGAGGCCTTTCAGTAGGGGGAGGTCAAAACAGTCACCATTTATGGACCAAGAATCACAGACTTCTCAACTTAGCTCTTGCAAAGAACCTATTTTTAAAACACAGCTTTTAAAATTGTTCTTATAAGGAAATGAGCAGCGTGAGTGCCTTCTGCAAAGAACTCCAGCCTCTCGGGGTGTCCAGGGTGGCCCCGATCGGGTCAGCCTAACACTGGTCGGAGCAGCACGTCCTGGGGCACAAAACGGAGCCCCACGCATGCAGCAGGCGCCCAGTGGCGGTCGGCCTCTGAGCTGAAGGTGGCACAGGCGGCTCTGAGCGCGTCCCCGTGGCCGGCTCACCGATCAGGGCGCGAGACTCCACCACCCGGTAGCAGCAGTACAGCGTCAGGAGGCCCATGAGCAGGATGACACACACGCCCGTGGTGAATCCAGCCTGGAGGGGGCGGGGACACGGGACGACACGGGTCAGCACACTGCAACACACGTGCACCGTCCCGTGACGCTGCCCTAAATAATTACCGTGCAACCTGATACACGGTTACGGTGAAACCACTACATTTAGTGTAAAATTAAACGCGATCATCTATTCTCTTTAAGAAGTTACGTGGGCTTATTAAAGCCTCCAGCGTACGACTGAGTGTGTCTGTGAGTTTCAGTTTCCTGTCCCACGCACGAGGGAGACTGGAGGGTTTGAATTCGGGGGGTGGGCACACAGCGCAACGCACAGACCTCGCACCGCAGAAACGTCCACTCGAAACCTATGCCGCCCTCTTCACCAACGTCGCCCCAGTACAGGCAAATGAAAAACAAACCAACTTCAAGGTCACTAAAAACCCACCATCAAACTTACAACATAAAGAGGAAACAACCCGGGCTACAGTCGTGCCCAACAACCTCATTACCTGCTTTATGCCCCACGGGATGCTCAGGATGGACGTGCCCATCATGGTGTTCCAGATCATGAATCTGAAAGCAGAGCCGCCGCAGCCCTCGTGAAGGCTGGCTCCTCGCACCGTTCAATCTCGGCAAGTTAAAGTAATCGGTCGCGTCCAGGTGCCCGGGGTCGGGCCACGCCCCCCAAAGCGACTCACGCACATGGTCACCACGCTGGCGTTCTTCCCATGCCCGTCCGTGTAGCTCTGCAGTCGGTAGGCGGATCCCAGGGGGCTGTACACGTAGCACTCCTCCGGGCCCGGGACCACATGGTCCGGGGCGAGCTGGGGGGGCAGACAGAGGCGTGAACGCCAGGGCATGACCACCACGGGCTGTTTTCTGTGCACCAGGGCACCTGGCGCCGGACACACTTCTAAATGTCGCGAGCAAACAGCAGTACGTGTCCCTGAGACACAAACGCAGCCCCCCTCCCAATGTGGTGGAGACCAAAAGAGCAAGAATAGCAAGGACCCTGCACAACGGACTGTTCCTCCACAATGAGAATGAATTCCGGGAATGAGCATCTGTGAAGTCGGTTTTCCCTCCAGGTTTAGGAGGAAGGAGGCAGGAGAGCCAGCAAAGAGGGCTGGCGGTTCTGGGTGGAGAGGCCTGGGCCTCGGCCGAGGGCCAGTCCAGAGCCCGGCAGCCACTGGACACCTGTGAGCTGGCGTGGGCAGGCAGGGAGCACAGACAGCTGGTCAGGAATGAGCGGCCAGCCGAAGAAGGACGGAGAACTACAGCCAGGCCATTCGGATGCTTCAGCAGCTGACGGGCAGGTGCGTACGGGCACGAAAGGAACAGGCAGAGCAGGGTCTGAGAGGCAGGACAGAGACTGAGGGGAGGAGCCCTCGGAGAGGCGCAGGCACTCAAGGGAGAGCGCTGGCGCGGGGCAGCTGTGCGCCCCTCAGGCTCCGATCTGCGTGGCCTGCACACAGGGCTCCCTCCTTCGGCCTCCCCACTTCGGAGGGAAAAACGCAGTTTCCTGCTGGAATTCCGCCGCGGCCCTGAGGGGAGCCCTTTAAAACACAGGGCTCCCAGAAAACGGTGGGGACATGGGCACCTGTCCCTGAACACGCCAGGGCACAGGGCTGGTGCAGGTCCCCACTTGTGGCTCTGATGGGTGCCTTGGCCGCCTCCCAGCCCGCTCACAGAGGGGGTTCCACTCGCTGCCCACGCCGGCCCAGCTCTCAGGCAGGCGACCCGCCGACTGGCCCAGCCAGCACCGCTCAGACGAGCGTCCAGGGTGAGCACAGGCCGTGAGCAGCTGAGCTGGATCTGGAGGTGCCGGGTTACTGCTCACTCCCTGGGGGGCTTGGCCAACTCCGGGGCAGGACGAAGACTTCTCCACAACTGCTGATACGAAGGCCCGGGGAGGACGGAGTGAAAACCCTGGGAAGCAGCGTCCCATCAGCATATGTAGGAGTCCGCATGGGGCTGCACAGAGGGAGCTCTGACCGCTGCAGTCGCGTGACCGGCCCGATCCCTGTCCCCTCAGAGATCTGTAAATGCTGGCTCCCTTCCCCCTTTTTACTGTGACGTCTGAGAGTCATTATCTTTTCTTTCAGGATGTTTCCATTTTTCTTTAGGCTTTCGAGTTTCTGAATATCTTACAGTGGTACTTCTTATAAGCAACCTAATGAATTGTAATGAATATTTTTGAACCTAAAACAGTAACGCAGATTTTAGAAGATTAAGAGTCAACAAACTCCAGCCGGTGGATCCGGCCGTCTCCTGACTTTTTCACAGCCCCTTTACTGAGAGTGACTTTCGCACGTGCAACGACAGGAAACAGGAGTGAGCACGTGTGGCGGCGTGTGGCCCGCGAAGCCCAGGACGCCTGGTGTTTGCTCTCTGACCCGGTTTGGGTCTGGGAAAGGACATCGTGAAGCAGGAAAGCATCACACACACGTGCACACATTTCAGCGTCCTACTCCTGGAGGAGGTGTTCACACTTGCAGCTTCACACTTAACAATTAAACAGACTAACCAGACCCTTCTACTATTTATATTAATCAACCACTTAGCCACTTCAAAAGCAGCCCACCCGCCTCCAAGCGTCCGGCGTTGGGGGCAGCGGAAGTTAGCCCCGCAGTTCTCTAGGGCGGTGTCCACACCGCGGGGCCTTCGCAACACCAGGCTACATGTGCTCAGCGGGCCTCGGCCGTGAGACGCACACGGGTTCTCCACTGTCTGTGACATTCCGTGATGCCGTCCCGGAGCGGGACCAGCAGGAGGTCCGACCCCGGGGAGTGGCCCTGGCCCCTGCCCTTCGCTGCCCCTGTCGACTGGACCCCCGAGAACGGGCAGCGCCCGGCCCCTTACCAGAGCCTTGTCCGCGGGGCCGGTGAGCCGGCTGTAGTACTGAATCCTCTTGTTCATGGCGGAGGCCTGGTCGCTGACCCTCGGAATGACGTCATTCGCACTGACGAGGTTTGCGGGCTCGATGCAGAAAGGCCTGGGGGAGGAGACACATGCTGGACAAAGACCGTGCAGCCAGGGGTTCCGGAGTCAGCGCTGCAGAAGGTGACGCCTCGTGCTCCACGGTGAGGGACGCGCCACGGAAGTGCCTCGCTCCACACGCCGGGGAGAAAAGGGCACGAAGGACAGTGATCCGGTCCCCAGGGCAACGCTCCCCTGTCGTTCATTATTACCCCAAACAGACTTATTTTTAAACTTAAGAAATCTAGCCACGGGGGACAGAGCAGAGAGAGCTTCGATCGTTGTCGAAAAGAAACACGGCAGCTGCCAGTTTCCAGCAGCGACACTCGGACACAGCTTCCAACTCACTCTCTCTCTCTCTCTCTCTCCAGCTTTTGGCCCTGAATCAGAGGAATCAGACAAACGTCCCTGTGCTGAGGAGTCTGCTCTCCTTTCTCGCCCAAAGCTACTTCCGAGGACAAGGAGACCTCCTGTTTCTGGACTCGTGCGCTGAGGACCAGGCCTCGCACCCATGTCCCTGGTGAGACCTGCCCCGAGGACTGCCCCGTGGGGTGCCAAGGCCCCCATGGTGTCTCCTTCAGCCTCGGGCCACTGCTCTGGGGACGCCCTGACGGACCTGGCACACTGCCTGCGTGTCTCTTTCCCACACGCGTCCCAACCTAAGGGCTAGGGCAGGTCCTGCCTTTCCAGCCGTCATTTCGGTCCGGTCATTAACCCCTCAGCTCCTCCATCCGCTCTCCAGCCTTCCAGCGGTCAGGACCACTGACCTCTGGAAACGGACAGGCTGGCAGAGGTGCGTCTCCAGCCCATCGGAAAGCGCTGCACTCCTCCGCGGATCCTGGGGGCCCCCAGAGCCACCGACGGCTCGGCACCCCACCACTGCAGGTCACACACAGATCCAAGGGAGGCAGGCGAGGCGGCCCGGAGGTCTGTCCCGGTTCCACGTTCCTTCTCCACCTGTGACATTCGTTAGAGTGCGGCCCCATTTCTGGAGACACCGTTAATCTAATCCTGTGGGAAGCACTTGAAAACCAAGTGACTAAAACTTCAGTTTCTGCTCTTTTTCAACTCTGTGCCATCAGAGAAATGGTCGTACAGATGTTAACTGTCCCTCTGGTCAGCGTACAGAATCTTCGAACCTCTCTTTTCCTATTTATTCTCTGCTACGGCACTTAAACGTGGGGGGCACTTCCTCGTCTCACCCCACCCATGTCCGAGGAGAGCCCTTAGGAGGGCACAGACATGGGGACGGAGCCAGACACGACGTGCCCCTAAACCACACGTACAAGTGCTCGACTAACCCCGCGGCGTCACTAGACCTCGAGCGGGCCGGTGAGAACAACCGGGTCAGGGGCAGATGCAGCACCCGACTTCGGAGCTGAGGGGCCTGAGACGACCGCCAGGCCCCCGGAGCGCTCGGCTCTGCACGGTGTGCACCTCCTCGTGACACTCAGTCGTGCTGAAAGCACTGCCACACACCCGTGTGTCGGAGACAGTGTAATCACAGGTGGGGGCACCCTCGCCGGGGCTTCGCCTTCCTGTTCAGCAGCGATGACACCCCACGAAGCTCAGGAGGCCACTGCAGACCTCGTGAGGCCAACGCAGAGGCAGACCCTGGGCTAACGAAGGACCAAACGTGCGACACTGACAGAGAGAGACAGGCTTTCTACCCGTCGCTCCTTAGTCTGAAAGTTCAGTGGCACTGCTGTCCAGCTCCCAGGGGCCAGGGGCGGGGGACCAGGGGGCCGGGGGCCAGCAGAGAGGCAGGCCAGGGAGGGTCCCGCGGCAGCCAGCCTCTGGCGGAGCGCGGGCCGTGCCAGGTGCGTGGGCTTGGGTGTCCAAGGGCACAACGTGTTTCTTTCCCAACGGTTTCCATCGAGATGCTGAGAGCTGTTCAAACCAATGCTGGGAATCTTTTCAAAACAGATTCTCTTGAAAAATACACAACTCAGCCCATTTTCACCGAATCTTTAGAAACATGCTTAAAGCTTCATCTGAGAGAACAGATACATAAACTATACTTCTAAACCGAAGTTCAGTTGGATCCGAAAACACTTCTGGAGTTAATACTGAGAACAACGTCCAGAATAAAAGGCTCCACGCGTGGGCTCGTTCCTCCGAGCAGCCCCCCAGGCCGGGCCCCCGCTGCTTCCTGGCGACGTGTGGCCCCACGGCCCCGCACTGAAAATAAGTTGCAGCCCTTTATGGAGAAGTTCTATTTGCCTCACAGTATAAAGGTTTATGAGCATGCTGCAGAAAAAAATGCTTTTAACATCCAGCAAAATTTTTAAAATGTTTTAAAACATGATTCAAAAACCCCATATTTTCATTTAATATACTTACAAACAAAGAAACCTTATTCCTACCCAAAGCCTGTCTAGGTTCCACTGCTTAAATTCCTTGACATTTTTTGGCTTTTCCATCTGTCTCCACCCTTCCACAGGCCAGCTGCACTCCTCTGAAGTTCAATAACAACTCCACGCTCTCATGGAGGTTCACACTCGGCACGAAGACCCTTGGCTCACAACCGTTCTCCCCCTCACATACCTGAGGGCCAGAGAACCCAAACCCCTGCCAGACGGGGTAGTTTGTTAAAAAGAAAGAATGAGAAGGGAATCAGGTATCCACAAAATAGCATGCAAGTGAACATTCAAAATAACAAACCCACTGTGCTGCGCGCTGCCTGCGCCTGTGGGGGCTTTCGGCACGGAGGACAGAGAGGGCGTTAACCAGGCCGCCGCACCGGAGCTGCAGGAGAACTGGTGGTGGCCCTGGCCTTGCTGCCACGGCTCCGGGCTCTCGCCACGGGGCCCACACCACGTCCTCTCGCACACACGCTCGGCCCTGGGGCCTCAACTCCCTCAGAGCGCCAACCAAGTAGACGCGCCGCCCTGAACACAGGAGTCTAACCTGTGGGAGGGGCAGGCAGGCAGGTGAGCAGTTCCAGTTGGGGGGGGAGGGTGCTGAGAGGTGTCTCCACTGTTACATAATGTTACGGCTGAAATGACATGTCACTAACAAAACCTCATCTACCATCTGATACTTGTGGAAATCTAACACCAGAAAACTTGCAAACACAGAATGTAAATCACGGACTTTAAGCCTATTTGTTACTGAACATGAAAAAGCCAGTGTGATAATTGTGATGATGAAGCAGATGGCAACACTAGGATCTCGCTATTCACTCCACGTAACGCGAGTAGTAACAGCAGTATTTTCACTAAAAAACGTTTCAAAATCAGTGAAATCAGACATTCAACATATTTCAAATACGGAAATTTGCAAACATTCTACCGCATTAAATGAAACATTAATTTGTAAAAACATAAACACTAAAAGTTACAGTTCTAATGTAAATTATTAGGTACGACTACATGTAATGCTTTGCCCCCTGCGCATCCTTCTGCCCAGGGCGCCTTGCCAACTGGCCCCTCGGAAGGAACTGAGCCAAGAAGAAGGGGAGTCAGCAGGGCCTCGGGAAGCGCCGGCGGCCCCCCTCCCCCGCCAGGGCAGCTCTCCCAGGGCAGACCTCCCTGTGAACCCAGTGGACGGGAAGGAAGGAAGGGCGGGGCTGTCCCCCGACCCCTCCCCTCCCGCAGCAGAGAGATCAGCCACCTTCCAGAGGTGCTCTCTGAACCAGTGCGGGTTCTTTCCTTCTCCTGGGTGTGTGTGTGTGTGTGTGTGTGTGTCCATCCCCAGAGTAACTACTGGAGCTGGGCAGTGAAGTCAGTCTGGGAAGATGGCAGGAATGCAAAAGAGGAGATGGTGGGGTGAACTGAAGACAATCAAGGAAGGTGAGGGACGCTAGTGGCTACTCACGAATCTGCAGGACGAAATAAACACAAACATCAGCATTTCGTGCTGGCAAACCAGCACGGGACACTTGAATACACAAACCGCACTTTGGTCACTAAACTAAGGACTAAGTGATGTCAGGGAGGTGGAAATGCACCAGGCAATTTCAACAAAAACTCGGGCCTCATTGTTGAATGAGACCCAAGTGGATTCAAAGCAGTTTCAGTTACTGTGTGGCAAACTGCTGCACGATTTAAAAAAAATAAATAAAGTATATTCAATTGTTCTTGATAGTATTATAAAGTAAAAGCAGAACCTTCAACATACAACTAATAAATAAAAGGTAATTTTACCAAGATTGATTTCACATCTTGTAATTCTAAAATTCCCATTTCATTTTTTTAAAAAGATTTTATTTATTTATCCTTAGAGGAGAAGGGAAGGAGAGAGGGAGAGAAATATCAATGTATGGTTGCCTCTCGTGAGTCCCCCTGCTGGGAACCGACCTGCAACCCAGGCACGTGCCCTGACTGGGAATCGAACCGTGACCCTTTCTTTGGTTCAGAGGCTTGTGCTCAAGCCACTGAGCTACACCAGCCAGGGCCCCCATTTCATGTTTATAATGTACATATAAGTACAGGAGCACATGCGCATAATTGGCACACGCATCCCCCACACACGTGCGTGCAGGGTTCTAAGACTGTTACTATTTTAACTGGCGAGAGTGGCGTTGTGGAGACGGGGAGGGCTGACGAGCACCTGGTCCCAGGCTGCGGGTTCTGTTGCAGCGCAGCCGAGCTGTTACTTAGTTGCTACTAAACATCTTCGCCAACAACATACGGACAAAGAGCCTGACTAGACTATTAATTCTCAGGCTCATATACCTTAATTGAATACAGATTTTTGCTAAGAATGAATTTCAAATTCTTTTAATGCAATTTGTGCTTTCAAATTTTGAAAAAAAATCTATAAATTGTTTTAATTCTACTGTCATGAAAACAAATCTCTATTTTTATGGCTTCAAAATAACCAGTAACAGAAACGCGAGAAATGCAGCAACTGTTTCCTTTTTACTAAAAGCATCAGGAACCAACGGGACATTTCCACTGGATTAAGATTCCAGAAGCACCTTCCACAAACAGGAACTAACAGGCCGACAGAAACAGTCCCCTGCCACCGCCACAGGACTGTCACCTCGCCAGGAAAAGCCGCCCGATGGGA